AGAAAATGGTGATAAAAAGAAATTTGTATGCATAAAATATAATCCTAATCATATCCTAAGAAAAAGAGAAAAAAAAAACAAAAATATAATAAAAATAATAGAAAGGAATAAAAATGATATCAAAAGAATTAAGAAAAGAAAAATAAAAAAACTTTTTAATTCTTAATGCAGGTGAAATAGATCTTTGGAAAATAATTACTAAACTCATAAATTAAATAAATCAGTTATCCAAAATAATAAACGGGGCTATTATCTATATAATTGATATTTCAATTATAATATGCCCCAAGTATGTCATTTTTTCTTCTTAACTAGACGGAAAAAGAAAAAAAAAGAATTGTTTTTTTTTTCTGAATTAGATTAAATTAATAATAAAATGACAAAATAGAAATAATTACTTTTATATCATTTTACTAAATAAATATAAAAACTATTTTTTATTTCTTCTTCTATTATGATCTTTTAATAAAATTAATATAAATACTTAATTCCAGGAGTTTTTGCAAACTTCCTCATTAATATTTATTATTATTTTATAATAATGGTTACTTTTTTAAATTATAGTTTTTTCATTATTTTTAGATGATAAAATTATCATAATTTTATTAACTCAACTGAGTACTATCTTTAACAACTAGTGGCCTTTGTATCATACTCAACTAAAGCAGCCGATTCAATAAGCTCAAGGGACTCCTATATGGAAAACAAATATATACAGGATTTTTCATCTCCTAGCAGACGTTTGAACTTTTATTTAGGCAGAAGGGATTAAATCTTAGGCAGAGTAGACATGAATATTAATCTGAGTGGACATGAATGAAAATCTAGCTGGACATGAATGAAAATTGATCTGGACATGAATGAAAATCGAGCTGGACATGAATGAAAATCGAGCTAGACATGAATAAAGATCGAGCTGGACATGAGTATAAAACGATCTGGACATGAATATAAATCGACCTGGACATGAATATAAATCGATCTGGACATGAGTAAAATCAATCTGGACAAGATAAAAACCAATCTGTGCATGAATAAAAATCATTCTGGACAAGAATAATAATCAATCTAAACATAAATAATAGACAACCTAGACATAATAATAGTCAACTAAAACATAATAAAAGTTGAAGTAGATAATATATAAAGTGTTGTAGCAGAGCAGAATATTTGAGTATCTAAGATTTTCAATTCAAGTCAAGACATAATAGAAGTTAAGCAGTACAAAGCCAATGTCAAGATATAGTAGTATGGCAGGTTCACTCGTAACAAAAAGCTTGTAGGCTAATGTATAGGAAATGGCAAGGGTGCGTCAGAGACTCACTGTGCGCATAAGCCTATTTTGCTGCTATGGGAACAGGGCCTGAGCGTTTCCCCTCATTTCACTTTACCCGGGTTGAGTTTGAAACAAATTGGAGGCTGGTGGCAGAGGTAGGTGGAAAGTGTGGGGTTTGTTAGCAGCAGCAGGGAGGAAAAAAACAACAACCAAAGATCCTTTTTTTTCTCATTACCATTCGCCTTAGCAAATCAACAGCTTCGACGCACACTTGTAAATGGCTCCTACTCTCTTCACGATGAATAAAAAACAAAGAAACAAAACGGCACAATCCACGGATTTATTGAAAAACGAAATGAAGGTAACTGTTTTCTTAAAAAAGCATGTGCTCAAGATTTATAAAGGAGTAGACCGCCGTTACTGCTGCTTAAAAAAACGCTGGGTAAGTGAACAAGGGAAGGAAAAGGTTATCGGGTGTGCTTGAGGTATAGCTTTAGTGGAGATATGCCCATTCAGAATTACTGCTTCTTTCTCTTTTTCTCTGTATATACTTGATGCACCATCTTGCACCAATCCAACGTCAAACTTACGTGTGTAATACTTCATCATCCTCTAGAAAGAAGTGTTTCTTTTTTGTTCTTCTCTTCTTTACTATTTTTCCCTCCCTTCTGCTTTTGCAGGTTTTGTTAAGTTTTTGAATAAAGTATGGCTTGCAAATACACTACTTCTTGGTCTTTAATAAGGAGTAACATTGTTCGTAACTTCCATTATAGCCTACTTATACTAATTACCAAAATCGCCAAATGCAATCTTCTGCCTCTCGGTTCTTCGGTTCTACGTATACAAAACCGGTTCGGTTCCGGTTCGGTTCTTGGTATAGGAACCGAACCATATTTTCTCGGTTTCGGTTCGGTTCGGTTCCGGTTCTACGGTTCTGATACGGATCCCTACTGATGATAACAGTTGGTTATCAATTGATAAATTTAATTAAAAGGATTTATTGAAGGAATATATCAATAAGCATAATCTTGGTATATTATAAAATTGCATACTCTACTATTTACAATATTTTCTTCAACTAGTATATAATATAATGTGAAGTCATACCTGGCATTCCTTTCTTACCAATTGTGGTAAACTAAGATCCAGTACAGACAGATGTCTTAATAGAATATTTCTCTTTACCGCACCGGGATCCAATAAGGGACACAGTTGCGCACATGCACCTAGCTGGATTGAAATGTGAATCCTTCATATAACTCAGTAAAGAAACCAAGTATGAAACAACCGTCCAAGAATACATCTCAAACCATCATAAAAGTTTTTTATTCGTTCTTACAGCAAAGCACCAGTAGAGTCCTTGCTGACAAAGAAGTTGATAAGCTTTCCACCTTCAGATCTGTTTCTCTGTTAAGACCGAGTTCTCAAACAATGTTTGAAAGTTAGATATAGAAGAAGATAGTTTCTATAGCTGATATTGTACTTTGTTCAATCTTTTTGAATATAATCCATTCTCAAACGACTTATTTGTCTTTGTTTATTTCGATTTACCACATTTTTTCGTTTGAATTACAGAACCGCAATCATCACTATAGACACTACTACTTTCCAACTAAACACTGGGAATCATTCAGGTCCCATTATCCCCTATACGAAAGCTCAGTCTTCTGTCGCTATGGATGTTGACCAAGTTCAACACCACGAACAGCTTGAGGAAAACCCAAGCAGTAACCCTTGGACACCTGACCAACAGGACAGTGTTGACCTTATCAAGCCTGACCAACTGGGTCCAGACGCTGACCCAAAAGTAGTCTGTACCTACTTGGAACAGCAAGTTCATCTTAAAGAGGCATACCTGCAGAGCCTGGTTACTTGCCCTGACCAACAAGTTTTCTTAGCCGCTAAAAGCGACTATGAAAACTGGAAAGAAAGGCTAAACACAATGAAAGCTCTTTCGGACAAGACGCTAGATGATGCCAAAGTAGCACATTTGGTTCCTAAGAACTTACCCGTGTTCAACCTCCGAGGACACACCAAGTTTGCTAAAGGGAAGTCTTATGACTCGCCTGAGTAGTTCTTGGATGACTTTGCTTATGTGTTAGAAGCACATTCGATCAACGTCGAAAAGCATTAGAAAAGGTTGATGCCTTTGACTTGTGATGCCACAAGACGTGCTTGGTTAGTCAAAACCATGCAACGGCATGACATGAATTGGACCAAGTTTCGAGAAGAGTTTTGTCGTGCGTTTTCTTCTCCGTACCAAGTTTACTACCAACGCTACAAGATGCGCACATTAACCCAAAACAGCAATGAGGCGTTACGAGAATACACAAATCGATACTTGGAACTCGCTTGCTCATCTGGAATACCTGACAACGAAGAGTTAGGATATGGTTTCCTATCTTCTTTGAATAAGAAGTACTGCCAGCGTGTGTGGAACGTTGGTGCAAACCATTTTGGCTTACAGTTTCCCAGCACATTGGACGCCGTTATACAAGCAGTCTTGACTCTTGCCGAGGGTGAACCTGCAACTGGTTCTGACTAGGACTCCGAAGAAAGTGAGGATTACAACAAGAAGAGAAAGAAAAACAAAGCCAGCAACTTTGTTTCCAAAAAAGGATGCCAATGGCAAATACACTGGCAAGCGACCTTGCTTAGATCCAAGGCATATCAATAAGCTACTACCGGATGATCGTTATCCTCTACCTCTCATCCGAGATATATTTCATAAAATGAAAGGAGCAACTGTATTTACAACGCTCGATTTGAAAAATGCATTTCATCGATTTCAGATACATCCTGATGATCGTCATAAGACTTCTGTGGCGCATACATAATTAAGAATGAACAAAACGAGGTGATGGCACGCGAATATGCACCATCACAGCTAAAATTAATTTCTCAAGATGAAATTATACCTTGTGATGAACTATTTGAGGTAGAGTCTATAGTGGCTCATAGAGAGACGGCACCCGGCACATATGAGTATAAAGTATGCTGGAAGGGTTACAAACCAGATGAAGATACTTGGGAATCTAATGAAGCATTCACCCAACGTGCCACAATAAACAATTATTGGAAACGGCTTGGAGAACAACCCAAGCAAAAACAGGCACAAAAACAAATCCAACACAAAAATAACAGCAAAACCACATAGTCTCTTAAAAGAAACCACAGTGGTGAAAAGACACGTTTTGTCAAGCGCAAATCTGTTCGGGTACAAAAATAAGTAAATTTATATAGGTATTACACCTACTGAATATATCCTACCTAATACCACAATTACAAATATCTCTCATAATACAATATACCAGGCAAAAGCAGCCCCTGAGTGCAACCTGGAAGGGGATGATGTGGTAAACTAAGATCCGGTACAGACAGATGTCTTGATAGAATATTTCTCTTTACCGCATCGGGATCCAATAAGGGACACGGTTGCGCACATGCACCTAGCTGGATTGAAATGTGAATCCTTCATATAACTCAGTAAAGAAACCAAGTATGAAACAACCGTCCAAGAACATATCTCAAACCATCATAAAAGTTTTTTATTCGTTCTTACAGCAAAGCACCAGTAGAGTCCTTGCTGACAAAGAAGTTGATAAGCTTTCCACCTTCAGATCTGTTTCTCTGTTAAGACCGAGTTCTCAAACAATGTTTGAAAGTTAGATATAGAAGAAGATAGTTTCTATAGCTGATATTGTACTTTGTTCAATCTTTTTGAATATAATCCATTCTCAAACGACTTATTTGTCTTTGTTTATTTCGATTTACCATACCAATTATTTTTATATATACACAAAATTCAATTTTTTGTACAATTTGGATTTTTACAGCCAATAGATTTCTTACAGCTAATAGATTTCTTACAGCCAATAGTACTATCTAATATCTAATTGGAGTTGGATGTCCCCTATTTCTGTATATTTTTTAATAAACAAGCAACCTTAAATTCTAAATTATAGAATTTTACATTATCCATTATCACAACTAATTTGTTATTTTTAAATGAGTAGTTATTAATAGAGGTCTCAGGTTTTTATTTATTTTATTTTAAGAAATAATTTTTAAATAAGATTATATTTTTAACTTTTTTATATTACTTACAATTTTATCATGATCTTCTATTCTTCTTTTATTACATTTATTTTTATTATATGTTGTAAATTCATATACTTTTTGTAATCTTTTTTTAGACCCTGCTTTTTTCATATATATATTAAAATTTCCATCTTTTTGCTTTATTTTATATTCCTCAATATTATATTTTTTCAGATCTTTTATTATAATACCTCTTTTAATATTACTCTTAAACTTAATATTAATCATTAGACTATAAATATCCATATTTTATTTTCTTATTAATATATTTTTCAATTTTAATATTTTTAATTTTAGAATGCATTTTGAAAATACATTTATATATATAATATCTTCATTCAGTCTTTTAAAAATTGTTTCCATAAATTATACTCTCTATTCTTTCTTCTCTATTGGTACTCCTTTAGAAATAAAAGTATACCTTTTTTATTCCTATTTCTAGCAATAATGCTTTACTTTAATCCATTCCAAGTACCTTCTATTGTATTAGTATGAACTTTAGTAATAGGATCTTTAAAATACTTCTTATGATTTATAGTTTGATGTTTATATCCATTATTTTTTAGATTATTATATCCCTTCCATTGATCTGTATAAATAGTAGTACCTTTTTTAACATATTTCTTTATGATATTATCAATACCATCTATATTTCTTTTTTTAATTGGTACTAAAAATAATCTTTTGTTTTCATATTTAACTTTATTTTTTAATAAACTTCTCTCAATACCTCCAATAATCCATGCCCCTTCAACTCTTTTACCTTTATTATACTTTCTTTTTGCAATTTTGGTCTCATCTATTTCAACAATTTTATTTCTTCCACCAATCTTATTTCTATTACTTAAAAGTTGTTTATTTTTAATATGATTTCTAAATAACGTATTATATGATGAGACAGTATTTTTAGTAATACCTAATATTGAAGAAGTAAATGAACATGGAACTTTACCTAAAAAATAATAAAGTATATGTAATTGTATATTAATTGGCAATATTAATTTATTAAATATAGTATCCCTTAATGGTGAAATGGCTTTTCTATATTTATAAAATTTACAAACATATAGCTTTTTATTTAAATTTAATTTCATATCATGATTACATTTTTCATATTTTAAATATCGATTAATATAATTATTTTCAATTAGATATAATAATGCTTCTTGTTCATTGTGAAATATATTTTTTAAATTTTTATAAGGTTCAATAAACATGCTAAGAATTTTAAGATATTTAAAATATTATTTTTTTATATATATAAAATTCAATTTTTATCTAAAAAAATAATTGAGCTTAAATTTATTTTAATACTTCGGAGTTTTAAATAAATCTGAGAGTTCCTTTGATATATATCCTTTTTAAATCTATGAAATTTATTACCTATTGCTGAAAATTGGTTTTCAATTTTACTTCTGAAAATTCCAAATGTTTTGTTAAAATGGTCTCTGTAATTGATAAGCTTTTACTAGGATTTTTTCTAATAGGATACACAAAATTATCATCAGTAAAATTATAACCTTTAGTTACTGATAAATCTACAAACTGTTTTAGAAATAAAGTATAACCACTATTAACTGCAACAGTATCTTTATTATTAAGTTTTCTATATAATTTCATATTCAAGAATATACTACCATCAGAGCTATCTGAACAATAATCACTTCTAAAAGTATAAATAATCATATCATTCATATCACTAACAAATTGAGTTCTTAATCTATTTTTCTTAAATTTATAACTATATAATCTGCTACATTTAATTTCTGTGTCGGTATAATTTATTCTAGAATTATGACTATCGATAATCAATGTTATATGTTTAAACAATTCTGAATTATATTTATGGGCAGATAAAGTTCTTAATTTTATATTTGAAAACATGTTATCCAATGCATCATACTATTTTATTTATTCTTTTATAATTTTCTTCATCCATCCAAAATTTTTTATAAAAATTAAAAAAGGAACTTTGAGGAATAAATTTATCAATATCATCTTTTCCTGAAATACTAGATACTAAATGGTATAATAAAAATAAACCTTTTTCTACTTCAAAATAAGGAGCAGGATATTCTTTATTAGTATATAATACAACCAAAAGAAAAAGACTGCAATATATCCTAATTTTTCTAATAATTGCTTTTAATAATATCAATGTACTTGATATGTTTTATTTCTGTTCTATGTTTATACTTATTATTAATGATGGACCAATTATAATTTAAAAAAGCCCAATGCATTACAAGTATAGAATTTACTTCATCGGTAATCAATTTATTAATATCCATTGTTATTATTTTTATATTAAACAAAATTTAAATAAAATAGTTTTAATTTTAGAAAATAATCTTACGAACTATAAAATCTTTATTACCCATAAAATCCTTACTATCTATAAAAATAAAAAGAAACTAAAACTATTAGTATATCGCCAAAGATAAGATACAATGGGAGGAAGAGATAAAAGGTTACTGTTTTTTTTATAAAGGAAATGGGTATTTAATGGGGTTTGTGGGTAAGAAGGATCCCCAATCCAAAGCAAAGATTCTTCAAGAGTTAAGACAAACGGAATTTAAACATCAGTAGATCGCTTATTGCAAGCTTTTCGACAATCAAAATCTTTTAGAATATCAGGGTTTTCAATCACATCAGATCGATCATAGCACTTGACAGGATTTGGCAGAAGGTCGATCACAATTTTCTTGATGCTTGCGTGCTCTCTATATAAGTATAAGTATCATTAGTAAGCATCATCAATAAGCATCGTGTCAGTTTTCAAACTTACTTGATGAATGCGAGGATATCGGATGGGTTGATAGAAAAGCCGGCGTAGTCAATAAATACTAAGCAAATAGTGTCGGTTCCGCGTATAAAGTCGATCAGATCTAGTTCAAAATTAGGCATAATACAGTGTTATTATCTACATAATCCTAAACAGTATTATTTCAATATTACCTTGCGTATTTCCTTCAACGTTGTGCATTTGCAATATATGTTTTTTTTTCCGTGTGGGAGTCCCTTGAGCTTATTGAATCGGCTGCTTTGGTTGAATACGATACAAACGCTTTGTCGGTAAGCGAAACTTTAAATAATCTGCCGACCATTTTTTGTAACAATTGTAGTCTCGTAGCAATGTCCTCCGTTCCAGGCGATTTCCTTGCATATCCCACAACAGTAAATCCGTTTGATTTAAGGTTGTGGATATATGCTTGGTGTTTCGGTAGGAGCTCGGCAATAGATTCAGCAACATTGTCTAAAAGAAAAGATATTGAATATATTCGTATAAAAATGCTTTTCATCTTACCTGTAAATTCATCGTTCAAGACCCACAATGTTCGCTGGCGTACTTTGCTGCTGACTGTTTTCAATGCTTTGCGTTGATATTCCACAGTTGTGAAGGCAACATTCTTCAAATGACACCACTATGAAAATCCCAACGCCGATTTATCATCAAATTTCGTTGTCTAAGGCCATACGTGAGATAAGATGTCCTTGTTTGAAACTAGCTTTTTGGTATATACTCTGTCGTTCAGCGGATCTGTTGTTAGATATACTTCGTTTATAAATCGCACAATTTGGCGATCAGAGCCTATAAACAAATACAAATAAATTAGAAACTAAATCAAATACATATCCATACAAACTTACTAAGATGGATTTCTTGCTTTCGTTGCATGTCTACGTGGTGTATTTTTTCAAGTGTTTCAGAAGTTTCAGTATATTTTTTGTAGCGGTAAGGTTCTGAGTACATTTTGACGAGCGGTAAAAGAAATGGGCGTAATGGGTCAGTCTCGTAACATATATCGATATCAGCCATGTTCTTGATTCTGTCTTTGAGTTTTTCCACGTTGGTAGGGTTGAATTCTACGTAGAAGAGCATACAAAGAGCTTGCTCCTTTGTTATTGTTGGTGTCATTTGGAAACTTCAAGCGGAAAAAAAAAGGTTGGTAGTAGAAAATGGACCATATCCGTATCTAATGGACGGTATTCACAATTGAAGGACCGTATCCAGCAATTGGGCGGTCAGCCGTACCTGTAGTGATCTAGCCAGTAAAACTCACAGAATAAAGTGCGGTATAGAAAAAGTGTCCAATTGCTTGTAAAAATAAAGTGCGCCATTGCTATTTACGCCAATAACAAAGGCAAAATAACGTTTGTCCAATCAGGAATAGAGAATAACATCCAGCATTACACAAAGCTTGAGTGCGTTCCGCAGTATATATATAGCTGCAGGATGAATACTCGGGTTACTGCTGCAACAACCACTTTGACACGACACTGTCGAAAAGTACTTTTTAACGTCTATCTACACACAGTAAAGTATGTTTCCACTGATCTACTCTGACTTATTGAGGGACATTTTCTCAATTGGGCTCATTTATTTTTCATCAGTTTAACCATTTAACGACACCGTCGGTGGGACACGATGAGGAAACGTTGGCAACGCCTAAAGTATTTGAGCCATACCTGACAAGTGTTCGCAATAAGATTGACAGAGAAAGAAGAAGCAAAGGAGTGCCAGCTTGCTACGAAAGCAAGACCTTTTGGGTTTTGCCACCAGCCCTCTTTTTCGCTATTTACAAGAAGAAATACTTTGAACCAAACCGACTTATATCTGCCACGTGTGTTCGTTTGGCTTGTCCACCTTTTGGTAGAAGAGCTCAAGTGTCCCAAGTGCAAGCAAAAACTCGAAGATTATGGATTTCCATTAAACCCACTTGCCAGACGCATCGCAGACGACGACGACTATTTTTACATCCTATCCTATCGTTATCAATGCAAAAAGGACGGATGCGACGCCAACACAATTATGGGCACAGACGAGAACTTGATAGAAAAATCGCTACCCATACAACTTGCGCTCGAATATCCGGCCACTCTTTCACATAAAAGTGGTGTATCCAAGGAGTTGATGACAAATATGCGGCTCTGCTTTGGTAACGGAATGGGGCCCGGTCCATTCGCAAAAGCACTGAGCACTAGACACCACCTGCGACACGACAAAACTGAATGGCAGTATGCGGAAGGAAGACCAGAGCAACAAGAGCATTCTTACGAGCAACAAAATCCATCAACCAGCAGACAATCGGCAATCAATTCGTTTTACAAACCAGTGCACTCGGCATCGAGGAAGTTCAAGGATTTCCCATCATTTGACGATCGAGATGGATATGGTAGTTCGACACCTGGTCCTAGGTATCTCACAAAAATGTACAATGAATTTGTTGAAATGCATATAAACGACCACTACAACCACATCAGCTCTCTACCAGCCACCGGAATCAACATTGACCACTGCCATAAGGTGAGTTTAATATATTTGCTTTTTTGTGTATATATATTCTGACAAGTACTTTGTTTGTTTTTTATAATAGGTGACAAAGCATCTTTGCAAACTGGATTCGCGCAAAATTTTTGAAGGGTTGGTATCAATGACAAATGAATACGGAGATATTCGGTATCAAGCTTTTGTGCCTACTACATCCATGGATCCCATAGAACAAGGGACACAAGGTATATTATACTTCCTTTCTTATAATTTTCTGATTGCATTACAGTAACCGAAACTAATTTTTGCGATCAGCAATGCTACAGAGTCTTACTGCCCATGGGCATCGTCACCCAGAAATTCTTTTTGCTGACAAAGTCGAGGCCGGTAAACAGTATTTTGAAACACAAATCGAATCACTTCGTACTGATGTTCATCCACGTATAGTCACTGATCCATATTATCATCTGGCGCAGCTACAGCTGCCATCAACAATTCCAGTAATAATTCACAGCTCACCGTTGCAAATCGAAGCTGCTTGGACACCACTACTCGAGCAAAATGGCACTGAACAGCAACCGATCGTCGTTGGTCTTGACGCAGAATGGACATATCATCAAAACAAACCAACATGGCATCTAGTATCAGTAATACAAGTTGCATACGACGACCGAGTATCAATATTAAAGCTGGAGAAGTTACTATTATTGCCACACGCTATCTGGACGCTGCTTCATCGCAAAGATATCATCAAGGTTGGGCGTAACATCGCAAATGATATCACTCGGCTTTCACAATCTTTTCCTCAACAATTCAATAACCTTCAAGCATCCAATGTCGTGGACCTATTGACAATATGAAACGAGTACAAATGCAAACCAGTTACTGGATCAAGTCTGGCAGATATGTGTGCAACAATCCTACAATATCGTCTATCCAAGGATTTACAACAAGGCAACTGGGAAGGTCGACTTACTGACGAGCAAGTACACTATACAGCTTTGGATGTCTGGTGTAGTCGGCAAATTTATCTCCAAGTGACATCGCCTAGAAACGACATCATAAATTAACGAGCTGGTGTACATGTAACAGTACTTAGCGACGATGGTACTGTAGAGGTGGCGCGCGGGAAAATCAGCGATGCTAGACAAAGTGGGTATGTACATATTCTCTCCCTTACTTATTCCTTGCTTGCTCCAATTCGTAGTAGGAATAACACGATAAGTTAAATAATATTACTAATATTAAGCTAACCCTGGCTTTTTCCAGAGTCTTTAATAAGCGGACAATAACGGAAAATCGTGCACTGGTTGAAGTTACTAATGTCTTGGTTCCTGCGGCAAAGTTGCAATTATGTGATAGCCAGCCACTTTCGTCATTTGGTGCTGCTCCGTTCTGTATATTAGTGCGTTTGTTGTCACTGCGTCCTTGCTATCAACTTATTGAGCCTGTCACCACCGTGCACAATGAGGAAACACTAAACATATCGCAGAGCATGGATCATCCGGAATCGCAAGCTGGTCAAACTGATCATAGCAGCGACAATGACGCGCAAGAAGCATGAGATATTTATGAAACTGACTCGGAAGACGACAGTGACGATGATATGCCGGTACCAACGCCAAACACTTTAGCTATCGATGAGAGCTCCAAGATTTATGGAAGTCGTCTCCTCGACCCTATTTTACAAAAGTATCGACCACAACGCTTGAAACAAGATAATGCCATCCACACCAGAATCGTCCAAGATGCTTGGCATGCGCTCAAGAGAATCTCAATACCAAAGAAGCATGGGTTACGCATAGAATTCCAGCGTAAATTAACCGACGCAATTTTGTGGATGGATTCTGGAGATGTTGCAGCTGTTACCCGGGTTCTGCATGAAAAAGGAGAGAGATTTGAATTGGGTATATATCTATATGATTCTCTTTTATTGTGGGCGACAAAGCTTAATTTAATATATCAAAACCATGTTATTTTAGTTCGCTGGCGTCGCAAATCTTGGATTAAGGAGCGAATTCGCCGCGTTGTCCCACCACCATTCAAAATCGTACAAGATGTGTACGATTATTCATGACGTTTGGACCTATAAAATGCGCCTCAAGTGGTCGGCCATTATTTGACAAACAGGCCTGGAAAGATGCACGAAATTTGCTACAGCTTATTGGCAAAGGATATTTGAGCGATCAACCTGGAACGTCATTGTACTTGTTTCGACGACGGGATGAAATGGTTTGGCAATATGTCAATGCTTAAGGGGAACAAACTCTCTTGAGGGCGGTGTGCACCAGAATTTAAAGAGGTATTTTGGAGCTTTCAATGCGAGTCCGAGATTTGCAGTTAATTTGCTTGTCGAATATCGAACACAACATAATTTGCATGTAAGTGTATCTCATAGCATGAAAAAAGTGACCAATTTACTAGACAAACCAAGCTTTTTTTAAGTGGCAGGTTGGTACGCTGATTCGCACGGGCAAACAATACAAGGGACATTACGATATTTGGATGAAGAACAAAATCCAGCTTTCATACTTGCGACGCGAACTGCAGCTACCAAAACATTGGCTTGATTGGCAGAACACGGATCTGTTGGCCTCGACTGAAGAAAGGTTTGACATTTGTAAGACGAGCGACGAAAGCTTGGATACATATGGCATGCTGCGTTACAGACCATCAATTGAACAGGCCAACAAACGAGATAGTGCAGCTGTGAGAGCAGCATATTTAGCATCTCGTCAAGGCACCCGGTATCCAATACTACCTGTACGTACCATAGCTTTGTTCAGCCGACAGATATCTCAATTCTACAACAGTCAGCAACCGAACTCAACGAGGTGGACCGTTTTCGCCAAGTTATAGAACTCGACATAAACTGACGGGCGCAATATTTTTTATAAGTACTCACAGTATCTGCGCACATAATTCAGTAAATGGAGTCAGAACGCGGTGATAAGGAACAGCTTGGAACGTACAACTTGCCCACGATCCCAAATACGTGATAACTCTGATCGTACTGCTCAAGTTTGGGATCCTCAATTGAATCTGCCAGCACCGACACAGCCATCACCAATACAACGTATTACATCCAGACGGTTGCAATCTAGATATTTTGTCTACCAACCGCTTGCTCCACGACCAATGCAACAGCAACAAGTTTATAGCCAATCTGATTTGTATTCCTTTGCACGTCCACCCATGTCAGCATACCGCCACCGCCTACTACATCTACACTACAACTGCAACTGCCTCCGCCGGCAATTATATCCAGCATTCCAAGTGCAGCCGCATATGCACTATAGTCCTACACCTCAGCAACAAGCAATCCAGCCACAACACACGGTCCTTCAATTTTGGGATACGGTCCAATTTTGCTGGGATACGGTCCAATTTTGCTGGATACGGTCCAATTTTGCTGGATACGGTCCAATTTTGCTGGATACGGTCGGGATACGGTCCAATTTTTGCTGGATACGGTCGGGATACGGTCCAATTTTTGCTGGATACGGTCCAATTTTGGCACAGATATTGCTGGATGCGGTCCAAAAGAACGGCGGGCCTACAATGGTGTGGGTGTCTCTAGTTTAATAAAAATCCCTGCAATGGCCAATTGGGTCCTACAGCCATGTCGAAAATAATGGAGCCATTGAGAAGCAGATTTAGTGGAACCAATGAGAGGCAGTGAAAACATGAACAATATAACAAACGCCCTGGGCTGTTTGCTGTTTCATGTCAAACGCGTTCTTTTTTCTCATTTCTCTTTCTTGTTGCTCTTTTTATTGATAACCGATAGTTATAGGAGGGAAAACGAGAAACACACAGCGAACGAGCAATACACCTCTTACTACTACAACTGTTACGACTACTGCTCAACAAACTTTAAATAAATTTTTTCAGACGACGCACTGACCCTCCTCGTGACAATAACTCCAGCAATCGCGCTGATTGCGATGACTTGCTCGACAATAACCCCAGCATTGCTGCCACGCATGAGGGTGCTATAGAGGTATCTCGTCTCTTATATGGATTGGTATTCTTTTCCATATAATTAAGCTTGCGGATTTTTAGAGCGAAACTCAAGCTTTATCCGATATTGGTGATATGATGAATGAACTTGAATCTGGCACCATCGAAACCGCAGCAAATGATCAAGCAAATCATTCTCAAGATTTAGCAAGCGAACAGTCTCCAAGCAGTACAGGAAACGAAGATGAAACCGATCCAGACCCGGATGATCTTCCTGACTCTGGCGTTGTATCGCGTTATCTTTCAAAAATCACCAGCGACCTGAACGAGAATAAAGTTGCTATCTATCATAAAAAAAAGCTTTGAATTGAGCCAGATGACCCATTTCACAGTCTCGACGGAAAGCCATTGGTACCAGAACCACTGTATTATCCGCGTGTATATGTGTGGGTTTCCGATCTGCCTGTAAAGGCTCGTATACTGTCCTATCTGCACCAACAAATCTCTTCATTCCGATGGTTTCATCCTGCAAGGCGTATCGTCGGTACTGACAGGTAATGATAAGCAATATACGCAGAGTTGTTATCTCAATATAATCTTGACAAAATTATTGCTACCACAGTTGCCTTTACATTTTATCTCGACGGTACCGATGCAATACTAAGGACGGGTGCAAAAAACATTTGTCGGGCATAGCGAAGATATCATGAAGAACTCTCTCTTCCCAGCGTATTTGACACACAAGTCAGGAGTATCAAAGTCGCTGGCCGACCTTATGCGCCCGTGTTTTCAAAACGCATTGGGGCCAGAGCGATTACACGACCTACTGCAAGAACAGCATCATCTTCGCCATGGTCGCCTTGAAGTGACGTAGTTGACTACTATACTTGCGCGCCGTTCAAGTCCACAATATGTTGATCATCCCATTCCCGATACCTACCCCGCCATTTTCCTCTTTCGGCGATCCGTTAGGCTATGCTGGACATGTACCTTCGGCAACATACCTGCGCTTGATTTACACCGCTCTGATCGATCAACTACGACCTTTGATTGACAAAGAGATGATGATTTCAGACGGTGTAATTTGAAGGGCGACCATACGTTTTGAATAATTAAGCACATGGCGAAAATTGGTGGAGAGCCTACCTTTTATGCTGTCTACACCGTTTGCAATGAATACGAGCAGATCAGATTACAGTTACTCGTTCCTACCAAAAAGTTGTCACACCTTCGATCTCCTTCTGAAGAAATGGTCGAATCCTACCGTATCTATGCCCACCAACAGCCAGAGATCTTCTATACCGACAATGTCGTTGGCGATAAGAGCTCTGGAAGACGTTATCAAGTCACTAAAGCGCGATATTGATACCTCAACGGTACCACCAGCAACATCAACATCAGCATCAGCAATTCAAATACTCCCCGGCTCTCAGCAATCGCCCTATTTATCGCTTCCATCCGATGTAACCCTACGTTACATTCAGTCTGAAAACGGTGCTGACACATATCTTGATACAATTATGATATACGTCGAATTTCTTCCAATACTCCACCAGTATCGATCGGGTAATGTAGTAGGTCGGCGCAAAAAATAGACATCAGCGCGAGCATCGTGGTCATTATGATCCATGGCTGACAGAGACTATAATGATTTTGCGCAACAAACTACATATGCCACGATTAGATACACATACGCTTGATGTCGCGGACAGTTGCTAATGCGATCCGAAAACGAAACTTTTGGTATTGTCGCCTTGCCTAGTAAGGTAGCAAAGCGAATGCATATGCGTTCTACTCCACAAGTTCGTTCCGAATCGACCATTACAAATTCCAAGCTTGTCTATATCAGTGTTCGTCTAGTAATTCTTGCTGGTGTGACCACTAACGAAAAAGGGCGGTAATATTCGTTTCTAGCAAAAAAGCAAGGCATTGAACGTGCACTAGTTTTAGTCCATACACCAGCCGAATTCACTTTATTTCAAGACGAAATGCGTCGCTTGAGTCGTAATGGCAATCGTATCAACTGAAGAGCTTAGAATTTCAATGGAACGACCATGTGAGCGCTGTTAAACCGCCTGATGTATACTACAAATCTGAGGAGCAGCGCTAGGCGTTTTACAACAGTTGCTGGATCACAAATCGTATTACATACCAAGCATCGATCGTGGCAATGGTATATGTGAAGCTGTGTGGGACGAGTTACAGTCTCCCGGTAGATCATTGTCCATACTGTCTGCACAACAACCAGCCCCATTACAAGTAACGATAAATGCTACAAACACCTTTCACAATCAAGAACTAGAGCAGCTACATATCGCCCAGCCACAACTCAACATATTTGTCGCTCGAAATACCACCCCTCGTCGTCTTTTACCTGCACCACCAATCGCACGAATGCGTCGCTTGCTCCCTGCACCCATCATAGCCCCTCCAACGCTAGCGCCATCAAATTCACCACCACATTCATTACCAAATCCATTGTCTATACCACCTCTTCCAAGTATCGAGCCTCTTGGAACATCAGCATCGTCAGCATCTCCAGTATCATCATCAACTCGCTACATGTCTTCAATTACCAGCAGCAATCATAGCCCGGATGTCACTCGTCCTGAATACTGGCCAAGAAAGCGGACAAGAACATCTAAAAGAAAGAATACGAGTGCTATCCCACAAACAACAATAATACATAATATACTTCCACGTCCACCACAAAATCTGTAGTTTAATTAATCTTTCTCTTCATTATATAACAAAGGTGTATGCTATAGCTGTTTTCTATTCAAGTTGTTCCGTAACGTTACAAATGTAAGCAAGGGTTTTATTTGGCAGATGATACCTTGTTATATATATACAAAGCTAAGCTACTCATGCTCCTTTAGCCAAGCTGACGTGCGCAAATTTTAACAAACAGACAGCGCCGCATGCGGCGCTGTTTACGCTTTTCCCTTTCCTTTCTTTTCCCTCCTTTTCCTTTCTTTTCGTTTCTTTTCTTTTTCACCCAAGACACCCCAAGTATATCAAGGGGGCCCTTGTTAATTCCAAGCACTTGTTTCAATTGCGCTTTTACGGACTAGGAATTTCTTACTTTTGCGATCCCCATTGGCCAATTTCACTTTGCTTGCGTCATTATTATGGACAGAAATTAGCATTCGTTGTTGTGTCTGTTTATCTGTCCTGGTCTGATACAGTAAGTCTATAGTTGTTCATAATTGCTAAGAGATATAGCGGCTAATTGACTATTTAAATTTATAGTAGCGTTTGGTGCATACGAGCAATGGGTTGATACAAAATGCAACATAGCAACTGTTTCGATCGCGGCCGCGATTGGTGTTTGGTCGATCTTCCGATCGATTCGACGTTCCAGATAGTGTCCAAGAAGCATTTTTCCACGCCTGAATAATTATCTTTAAAAAAGCACCCTAAAAGAAATCAAGAACCGTAATTCCGAGTCCTATCATGGTATTCTCAAAACCCAAGAAATTGATTCAGAGTTGCGCTCCTGCTTCCCAAACGAAGCAATCGAGCGAGACAAACTGCTCGCCAACGTTCAACGAGACATCTACGTTCGACTGCGGCCCCTCATTTTCCTCCTCCATTTCATGGAAGCGGAACCCGACTTGGTCCAAGAAGCCAGCTCCCCTATCTTGGAGGCTTTTGTTCGCAAAGTCTAAGAATGCATCATCCTCGAGAGCCATGCTGCAGAACGTCTACGGATCGAACGACGCCGCCTGTGAAACGATTGACAGCAGTGCGGAGTTGGTTGTGGAACTTTTCGGGCCCGAATTCCGAGAACGGTTTCATGCCGAAGCCAAGAATCCACGTCTATGTTTTCAAACCGTGGCAACACCTGTAGACGTGGACGCGGAAACCAACGCAGTAACAATTTCTTTGGACGCGGACGTAAGACGAGGCCAGGGAATTGGCTGGGGAGGTGGCACCAGCGCCTTCGTCACCTCCACCAAGAAGTTACTCAAATGGCGCCAACTACGAGTCAAGCACTGGTCGCTCAGCCTGCGAACACGTTGGGTGCACAAAGCACGCGTTTTTGCTACAAGTCAGCTACTCTCTATCGAACACAAGTCACCGGTTGGGGCGCGCCTGGCCTCGATACCAACCAGCATTTGGATTCAGCGGGGGGTCAGACCCGTGGACCATGGCACACAAGAACGGTACGGGCCAGATACCCTTTTGCCAAACATCACCTAAGTCAATCGGCACTCAAGACTATCGGTTGAACATGTCCCGCCAGCAAGCAGCCAAGATGGATCAAGCTGTTCAAGAATTTCTATTCAAGAAAGCGATCGAGAAGGAAGCTTCATCCGATATACACTATCAATCATATTTGTTTCTAATTCACCAACCTGACAAAGTACGCGTCGTGCTCGACTGTTCGGGTATCAACAAATACATACAGTACCAACATTTCAAGATGGAGGGTCCGCCGATGTGCGAGCGATGGTGCAGCCGAACGATTAGTTGGTCAAGTTGGATTTGAAGGACGCCTCTACATCTTCCTCTTCATCAAGAAGACCGTCGTTACCTGGCATTCATGTGGCGGGACCAGTTTCACCGTTTTAAATGCCTATGCTGTGGAGCTGCCCATGCGCCGATACTCTGGACAAAAATGATGTCTCGTACTGGGAACAAGCAAACCTTCGGCTGACTTTCTACTTGGACGACCTCTGCCTGATGGCGTCGAGCAAAGAACAAGCTCGCCAACAAGGAATGTTGCTCAAGGCACATCTGACTCAGTTGGGCTTCAGTCTGAGCAAGAACAAATGCTGTTGGGAACCGAAACATTGGCAAACCTTCTTGGGTTTCCAAGTCAATACACGCAAGATGGAGTTGTCCTTGCCGCAACCCAAAATGCTTCGAATTCGCCGCGACATGCATCAGCTACTACAAAAACAACAACTCACCAAGCGCAAGCTGGCAGCTATCTCTGGCTACTTACAAGCGACAACAGCAGCAGTTTATCCAGCCCGCCATCACATGTGGAACATGTCGCGCGACTTGCAGCAGGGACACGTCTACCGGTAAAACAACAATGGAACCAAAGCACGACGATCGCGGCAGCAACACGCCAAGACGCCCGATGGTGAGTAAAAAAACTTGCATGCCTGGAACGGACGCTCCATGCTTCAACCAAAGCCAAACGTCGTCATTTATACCAACGCCAGCGTCTCCGGATGGGGCGTCGCGGCCAAAGAAGTACATTCAAGCGAGCATTATGCCATGGCCTCCGGCACCTGGGACTCCATCGCAGGCAGCCAATCAATCAATTGGCGCGAGCTTCGAGCAGTACAGCATGCAATCGATCAACACGCCGAGCAGTGGCAACAGCAAGTCATCGAGATCCGCTCCGACAATATGACAACATGCGCAATCATCAACAAACAAGGAAGCCACAGACATCAACATTTACATCAACTTGCTTCCAAGATTTTCCACCACTGTCACCGCTACAAAGTACGGCAGTTTGCGACATATCTGCCTTGCATCAGTGATGGTGCACTATCAACTAGTGTGGCTCGTTTTTTAGGTGCGTGCAAAAAGTAGTGCAAATGCCACCAGTAAATGAATCAGCAATAATACACTGTTTGTTTGCAGTAATGTCTCAGTTGCCAGAACCTGAAAAGGCCCCCATTATTTATCGTGTTGCGGTTGGGAAGTTATGGCACAGATAGCGTGGGTGGGGTCATGGCAGTCAATAGGATAGAAGAATACTAACAACGAATAAGAACGCTGAATAGTAAAATAAGGCCGAGCTTCCGAAGCTGTGGCTAATGAGAAAAGGAAATAATGACCTGCAGCGTTGGTGAAACGGCGCCGCATGAAACGCATAAGGACCATGCACGACGCGTTTCCTGAATGACGTTCCTTTTATTTTATTTTTTTTCTTTTGCATTCCAACGAAGGGGATCGTGGACGCCCAAAAGGCCAGAAAAACAAGGAAGGCCCTGAGGCTGGTCGTCCAAAAACAAAAGAATCTGATACACAGCTGCACTGCAATCCCAACCAACATTGAGGAACACTTCAGCAACACCACCACCACCACTTTTCACACCTGCACCTACATCAGCTGACTCTTCCACCGATCAAGTCAATAGCATTGCACAATTGAGGAACCAGGTGTACCACTTTCCGATTTGCTTGTGGATATTGAGCCTCTGCCTACAACTACAAACAATGATGATGACTTGGATGAGGATGACGACGATTTGGATGGCACATTGTACCAGCAAGAAAGTGACATTACTGATGACGATGGTGATGAACCTGTCTAAGTGCAAGGCCATGTGCAAGCATACCTATTGGATATGCACAAGCAAGTAGTGGATGATGTGAGGCAATACGGTGAGTCACATCAATACAAGAACAAGCCTCTCTGGATATATCCGCCTGATGCCTTCTTTGTATTACGCGAAAAGCTTGACCCAAAGATGCTGTACTTGCCATGTATCTTCATCTGGATCCCACATATATTGGGAAGCATTTTCAAGTGACTCTTAAGTGTGTCTCATGCAATGGAGAATTGAAATCTAAAGGATACAACAACATTGGTCGAAGAGTAGTGGATCTTGACAGGTATGTGTTATATGGCATTTCTACCACTATTTGCGATTAACACATGAGATATTTAGCTCGTTCTATATCATTGGCACACGCTATCAATGCAAGAAGTGTCTTTCGGAACTCAACTCCCATGATCCAAGGCTTATTCGTCAGCTGCCTTTCTTTTTGCAATGTGAATATCCTGGTTACACTACACGGCGTTTGGCGTTATCGAAAACAGTGGGAGGATTGATGAGACCATGCACCCAAAACTCTGTTGGGCCCAAGCATTTTCAAAAGATACTACGCGAATTGCATATGCTACGCCATGATCGACTTGATTGCAGTACCTCAACATTGCCGTGTATCGAAAGCAGCAGCAGCCATCCATCAACCAGTCACTTTCCTTATCCCATGATATCTTGCCATTCTCTCCATATCATGATAAAGAAGGTTATGCTGGTCATATTCCTTCTGCATTGTATTTTCGTTCCTTTGATGCATCATACGTATATTGAGAGCATGCGGCACCTGATGGATAAGCAGATGATGCTACGGGATGGCAAATATCTCAAGGCTGTCCACTCGTTCAAGATCGTCAAACTTTTGGGAATAGTCAACAGCTCACTAGTTTTCACTGCAATGTACACGCTATACAATGAGTATGAGGAATTGAGAATGCAACACCTTGTCCCGTCCAAAGCCTTGTCCCACCTGAAGCATGCATTTGATACTATGCGATCAGCCTATGACCTTTATGCCCATGACCAACCAGAGATATTCTTTACTGACAACATTGGTGGTGATCAAAAGTTTCTTAAAGACGTTTTGCCATCGCCGACAAGAGATGCCGTGCCTGTCAATACCCCAGAACCTGTGGATACCTCTCTCATTGATCATCTACCACCACTCACATACCTGACAACACCAGTGTACGATGTTTGAAAGATCCTGAAGCTATTTAAATGAAGTGCTAGTGGATTATTGTCGAGAGCAAGAATTGTGACTGAGAATGGACGTTGTGGTATCATTATTGGTTTCGATTGTGAATGGCCAGTTGATCGATAGAGGATGGCAGAGTCTATAGGCAGCATAAGACCGCTACCATCCAAGTTGCATGCACCAGACATATTGATCTTTATTGCGTCTCTCATCTTGCACACTTACCACCATCGTTGATCACTTTACTCTCTACTGAAATCGTATCCAAGATTAGCCGTCAAGTGGGTGGTGATATACGTAAAATCAAGCGTGATTTCGACTTGCATGAATTGGAACCCGATCGTTCTGGATGTCTAGAATTGGGAAGATTTTGCACAGAACGTGGAATCATCCAAAGTGGGAAAACTGGACTAACGGATATATGTGCATTGGTCTTAGGCAAGAAGCTACCAAAGGAAGAGGATGTACGACTTGGTGATTGGGCTGCTGTAAACTTGACAAGTGAACAAGTACACTATGTCGCATTGGATGCATTTGCAGGGTTTGAGATCTACAAGAGGATAAGAGGGTATGGCTCTATTGGGAAAAGGATTTCTGATTCAACAGAAGGTACGATCGACATATTATTACATTGTTATACTTGTGAGCTCATTGATAATACTAGGAATGCACGTGTCTTTCAACCCAGGAGCAATGAATGTAGCAGCTGCATATGGCGAATTGGTCAAGCAAGAATTCTTTGATGGCAGAAAGATCACCAGACCAACGTCGTGCTTCTTGTAAAAAAAATTAGTCATTGCTGGAGTGTTGAATGTTGATGGCCAACCATTGAGGTCTCGAGGACCAGTGCCATTTAAAGTCGTGGTCAAAAAAGCGTGATGTACATTATGCAGAAGTGCCAGTTGACATTAATTTCCCCACACACCCAGCTACCAATGATACAACAAATGGGGCACACAATGCAATGATGATAATCAGCCAGAGAATCCTGAAACAGGTATTAAGACGTTATATCGACTACATATTGATTTGAATAATAACTACAACTTAAGCAGCTTATGATACGATCAATCCTGGTGATGACAACCCTGATGACGATCAAAGTGAAGATTCCACCAGCTTGGATTCAAATGATGATGTCGATAATGTTCCACACCCAGTATCAGGAGTCGATGTTAATAGCGTTGAGTTTGGACACATGGTTATGTGTACTCTTCCATCCACTGCATCATCTGATAACGTTGTCCGCTCGAGAGTTCTCAAAGATGTGTACCATTTGATGGCCATGGTTCGTGTACCACGAAAGCATGGAGCTTCTGCAGAATTTGCAAGAAAGCTTCGTGACGCTCTCTTTATCGTTGACTCTGATGACAAGGCTCGTGTGGAAGCTAACCTAGCAAAGAAAGGAATGACGTGGAATCAAATGCTTATCAAGAATAGCGATTGAATATTACGACGAGTGAAACGTACGTATCAGCGAGTTACAAAAATAAATATCTAATAATCTTTCTATGTAATAGATGTAATACCTCCTGCAGAAACATTGTATTTTATCATCAAGCAGCTTTTTGAAAGTTATGGGCCTATCAAATGTGCAAGAGCTGGAAGACCTTTGTTTGACAACGAGGCATGGCAACAAGCAAGAAATGTTCTCACAACAATACACCATGGCTATGTATCTGATCCACCTGGAATGTCATTCTATTACCTGATGCGCTATGATAAAAATGGCTTGCCATTGTATCGTTGTTGCCGAGGAACAACTTCTCTTGAGGGTAGTATCCACCAAAATGTGATTCGAAAGTTCGGATCATTTGGAGCTAGTCCTCAGCTTGCAGATGCAGTATTGGTCGATTATCGTTTACGTCATAATATCGATGTAAGTAGCTTGATGTTTTATGTACACACTCTGAAAGTAATACATGGCAAACTCATCTAACGTGTGTTTATTGTATTAGGTTGGTACCATGAACTGGTATGGCAGATTGCACAAAGGTCACTACGATCCATGGCTCCTTCAATGCATCGCTGATTTACGTGTTACACTCAGATTGCCGACAAGTCAGGGTGATGCTGGTGCTCATCATCATGCATTATATCTCACTTATGATAAACGATCTGCAATTGAAGCCATACCAGCAATCGATTGAGACACCATGTGACACACCGATGCAAGTATCCACTCTCATCTTGATCCAAGGAAGAACTTCGCAGAAAATAAAGTCTCAAAACGATTTTCTGAGCAAGCGACAAGGAACAGCATTTGCCGTTTTACCAGTGCTCACAGATGTTGAGCACAAGATGTTCAACTTCCTCTTGGCACACCACTTCCCAGATCACATTACCAAGCGTGTTGACTTTGTAAAGTTTGCTCGTATATGGTCACGCTACGCTTGTAAAACCAGCATTCACTACACAACTCTTGAGTATTTACGTTCACGATACACTGTGTGGAGAGATTCGAATAATGCAGCAAATACACGGATTAACAATGAGAATGTAGTAGCTTCGATTAGTCAGCTTGTTCGATCCACTAGAAGAAAAAGAACAGCACCACCAGCACTTAATCCAAGACCACTCAAACTATCACGTCCTACTCAATTGCAAACATCATCACCTATCGTACTATCAGCTCAACTCGCTAACATTGACAACAACAATTCCAGTCAGCCATCGGCACTATCTCCTAGTATAAAACATTTATCACCATCATATATAGCAGCTCCTAACATAGGACATATTGCATCAAGTACCTCATCTTTAGCACCAAAGCCGATTGCTACTACACCACTAGCTGTAAACCACAACATTGTCCCAAATAACGTTTCCCAACATCACGCTACAACTACCACGAACAACACCTTGAGGGTATTTCCAAACGAAGTAGACGTTGTGGTAAATGTTGTCAATTTGGCTGTAAAGGAAGTGGTGGTCGTTGTAAATGTGATAACATGCAGAATAAAGATTGATATCATACAACATAATCCAAATGCTTTTTCTTCTGACAAGCTGCCCAAAAAAAAGAATTTAATCAGGACGGCCCCACCCATGTTACCCGAGCCGAAGTTCCTAATTGTAATTTTATGATTTACGTTTGGAGGAAGGCATAGAGTTTGAAAGACAGCATTTAAAAAGAACAAAGCAAAGACTAAATTCAGAAGCTACACTGGACATAAAGGCTCAACTGAATAGTAAATAAAGAAGTACTATTCCATTCTACATTTAAAAAGACTAAAGCAAAAACTCAACTGAAAAGTATAAAGAAGTGCCGTTCCAGTCTGCTCTTGAAAAAGACTAAAGCAAAGACCCAATTGAACAATTATACTGAACATAAAAAAGGTTTAATTTAAAGGTTACACCGTCATGGAGTCACCAATTAAGGACTTGAGTGCCGTTTTGGAATCAGGTAGAGACATTCAAGACTTCCCTCCACTTTTTCATGTATTCCGGAGTGCAACACTTGAAGGCAAGGCTACTTGGATATTAACAGTGGTATGTATAACACGAGGGCTTGCTCTGGTTCCGTTGCCCTTGGCAGACGCCTTGATGTTACACAGTTTGGCGCGGTCGCGACATCAGCATGATACAATTGAAGAGCATAACCAAATCGGCTGCAAGTATTGAAGAAAGAAACATTGCAGTGTAAATACCCTGCCCTCGGTTTAAGGACGAAGGCTCCTGTTAGGCAACAAGACATCCTGCCTTTCAATAATAAGTACGGTCATGAAATATCATTACTGTTAATACACTGTCAATCAAAAGATATTACGGTGACTGGCTATATGACAAAGCGTGATTCAAATAATAATCCTTCCTCACGTACCTATTAAGTGGTATACGATACTGTACCTAGAAAATGTAATGCTTAGGCAATATATTGGTTAACGACTTTCATTTTGCATTACTATGCTTTCAATCTTGATAACTTATCTACTTATTGATAAGTGCGCTTAAGTGCAGTGTGATAAATAGGTGGTATGAACGGCCAAAGAAGCAAAGAGCCTGTAGCCAATAAAAGAAAGGGTTAGCAGCTCACTACCCTGAATATAAAACATAAGCTGTTTCGTTTAAATGTCAAAAAATTGAGTAATCGTTTTATTGTTGGGTGAAATCAGCGAAATGAAAAATATCGTTTGTATATATATGATAATTTTATTATCCTTCATTTTTTCCAGTTGGAGTATGAGACAATCCTTGCGTACGGATGATACGCGTGACGATAGATCGTTTGTCATGGTTTTTAGCGGTAGACATTGACATGTTGTGCTAGAAGAGCAAATTTCTTTTTCTGCTCTTATACAGGACCGGCTAGCGGTACCATCTACTTTCGTCCTCCTGGAGGGCGGTAAACATAAGGGCAACCTCTATTAAAATCAAAAATGATAGATAGATGTTGACGCGACGAGTTAATGTACCCCATATTTGATGACTGTTGCTACTAATTGAAATAATAACCAAAGAAGATACTTTACGAGTAGGAATGAGTCTTTTTGCCACAGAACATACAAGGCATTGTGGATCGTTGGAGCTGTTAGATTCGTATGTTGTTGCGATGGTTGGAGTGGGAAAAAAGTTCTTCGTGGATAAACTAAACTGTTGTGTTGTGATGTGTTGGAGAATTAGTGACAGCTCAAAAACGAGTCCTTTATATATCTTTTTAACAAATGGTTGACCAATCGTTTAATTTACATTGACAACAGGCACTTCTTGTTTCTGACCTGTCGTCAATTTCCCTTTGTCTTCGTATGGAGGGTGGGTACATCTTTGGAGAAACTAATCTTTATTAATGCATGACTCGCTGAGCGTTTTCTACATACAGATTTTCCACACTTTCGGCTAATGTAAAAATGAGCTCCCTCCTTTGCACATTTATCGTCAATGGGAATTTCTTCTTCTTATCAAGATTCTTTGTCTCTGATATACTACGATGTTGTCTAATTATAAGAAAATAGACTCTTGCAATATCAGATTATTGGTAAAAGTCACCCTCTTTCAGAGATCAACATGTACAAATGAGGATATTACATAGAAACCCTAATATAAAAATACGTTGTCATCAAAAAGAAACTGTGATAATTGAAAGCTGTACATTATATCAAATTCCAGAATTGCGTCAATTATTGTTTATCATTGTACTTGGAAAATTTCGAACAATATACAGGACAACAACTATCAATAGCGTTGCTAAGATGATCATCCTTCGAGTCATTATCCTGATAAAACCTAACAGTATAACTACTGTACAAGGTATATTATTTTCTTTTTAAACAACGTTACTACCAGCTTGCGAAACAATAAACTAATATTTAACTTATTGCTGTCTGGTGTGTTAACCTTTATTTGCTTTTTGGTCCTAGCCATAAAAATTGCTGTCTAGCTTTTTTTTATATTACACTTTTTGCCGATGGATGGCTGTTTCAATTTTATGGTGTACGTAGATACCTTGCTCTTGTTTGCTAAATTGAACTTGATAATAATCATTATGCTGTCACCTACGAAAGAAACATGTAGATGCGATTCTCTGTATTATAGTACATGTTTTTAAAGGCGTCCAGTATTTAGCAACACCACCTCGAGTTATAATGACCGTTGTCAGGGACTTGATAAGTTGCTAGAAGTAAAAACAATGCATTGAGGGTAGTATATTGTGATGAATCATTAAGGACTGTGGCCTGGCGGACAGCTGTAAGATTGGTCCAAAAACTAGTCGAAGGCAGATAACGTTTGGGTTTTGATTCTAATTTCGTTGGGGTTAAATTCCATGAATGCATATGCGTTGCACAAAGAATCGACTTTTCACACATTACTGCATCTGCTGTTTTGTTAGTGGAGGCCTCTCTTTCACCCTTTCATTTTCTTTCATGTCTGTAGATACTGTCATAGATAATCTTGTTGCGCGTTGTCCAACAGCGATCAATACAGTCAGTCCGGAATATAAAGCAAATTATTTCGAATGGCAAGAATTACTAGAGCAGCTTGAGGAGCGTCTCATTGAAGCCACGAACGAGGGAAAAGAAAGTAGTTTGCAACTTCATCGCAGTCGTGGGCAGATGACAGGTAATATTTTGATTAAGATAAATAAATACTTAGTATATGAGGTACTAACGAATGAATCGGATGGCCGTATTACTCTTTGCTTTCTGTACTAGCTCGTGAACGAGTGGATCTGCTATTGGATGAAGACTCGCCGTTCCTGGAATTGTGCGCTTTTGCTGGATATGAACAGGAGGGCATGACGCTTGGTATAGTAACACCATGGCAACAATATCACTCATATATTCATGGCAACAAAACTAGCATAATTGTTTAATAAACTGACACTATATGCTATATATAGGCGGATCGTTTGTTGCGGGAATAGGTCTTGTCAGTGGTGTTCTTTGCATGGTGCTAGCCAATGTACCTACCTTGAATGCAGGTGCTTTAAATCAAGTCAGTACAATGAAGACTTTACGTATCCACGAAATCGTCATGCAAAATAGACTTCCAATAGTAACGTTGACACATTCGGTATATAAACATAACTGTCGTCATCTTGGTGAGCTTTTTACAGAAACAGGAAAAGAAAGTTGACTGTAAGAATTTTATAGGCTGGTGCGAATTTGGAGCAGCAATTTAAGGTTTTTCAACTCACTGGCGGAACCTTTCGAAATCAAGCATTGCATAGTAAAGCTCGTATACCTTCATGCTGTATTGTCTTTGGTAGTTCTACAGCCGGAGGCGCATATACTCCAGGCATGTCCGATTACACAATATTTGTAAAGGTACTTATTATAATGACACCAAATGCTTTTTGCTGCTTTTACATAAACTGGTAAATTTGCTAACATCAGCAAGAAATATTATAGAAACAAGCACAAGTGTTCCTTGGTGGTCCTCCTTTGGTCAAGATGGCTACGGGTGAAGTAACGGATGCCGAGTCGCTAGGTGGTGCGGATATGCATTCCCGTGTTTCTGGCGTGAGCGACCAGTTAGCTCTTGACGAGGTCGACGGTATACGCAAGGCGCGGGAGTGGATAGCAAACCTAAATTGGAACCAAAGGGCAGTTTGCCAAAACGTCATTTGCTGGGCCAATACGAGGAGCCTTATTATAACATGGACGAAATCCTCGGTATCGCTTCGGCAAACATTCGCGTTCCGTTTGATGCTATGGAAGTGATTATCCGGTTGGTGGATGGATCGCGGCTTACTGCATTCAAGCCTAATTATGGCGTCAATTTGGTCACTGGATTCGGTTTCATCCAAGGCATTCCTGTTGGTATTATTGCCAATAACAATGTAATTTTCACGCAAGAAGCGAACAAGGCGACCCAGTTTATTCAACTTTGCAATACCAGGTAGGTTGTTGTTTTCCTAATAGTTATAGCTACATTTTGAGAAAACTAAACGGATGGTACACTGATCTAAAATTAATCTAGAAATACTCCATTGATATACTTGCAAAATATTACCGGTTTCATGGTTGGGAAACATTATGAAGAGGAAGGTATCATTAAAGCTGGATCGCGCTTCATCAACGCTGTCAGTAACTCGGAGGTACCCGCTATCACCATTGTGATGGGTGCCAGTTATGGTGCTGGTAACTATGCAATGTGCGGTCGTGCATATCAACCAAGGTATATATATAAATGCTGACTTCATCAATAGTATTGCAAAAGGAGAAAAGCGAAACACTGATGCTCCTATCTATTTCTCTTTCAAGATTTCTATTTTCATGGCCTAACTCCAAGTGTTCGGTCATGGGCGCAGAGCAACTTGCAGGTGTTTTAGATATTGTCATGCGTCAAGGTGTTAAGAGGTAAACAATAAGGAATATATATACGCTCATAGATTTTCCCTAATACTTTTACTAATTTTACCCCTCTACTACATACAGGGCTGGTATTGACGTGGATGAAGAATTAGCAGCACAGCGCAAAGAGCTTTTCCAGGGCTCTGTGGAAGCCGAATCGGATGTATACTATACATCCTCGCGACTATTAGATGATGGTATCATAGATCCAAGAGAAACGCGTCAAGTCATTGGCTTCTGTTTAGCTTCCATATATAGCAACACAGTGAAAGGTGGAAACATATATGGTGTAAGCAGAATGTAAATTCTGTACAATGATGACCATTTGTACTCAAATCAAAATCCTTTCCCCCAAACATTTAATCCTTCCTCATCATCTGGTATATCAAGTTGCGAACCACCTGCTTGTTGTTTTACGATTAGCTATTATCCACAAAGATGCAAAAGAATCTGTACATGTGTGTAGATTGTAATACAATTCTTATTCGTTTTACTGGATTGTATGTGGCTGGGGATGGCAGTAGTAGTTAATGTCTGGTACATGGTGACGGACGGTGACGGTGCTAGAAGAGACTGGCGGTGTACTTGTTAACAGTTTTACATTGTAATTATTATTCAAAAACAGGCAAGCTACGAATAAACCGATCCACAGCTATACGAAAGAGCTCATTACTGATGTTTCCTGGTGGCGGTGGCGCTGTCTTTGTTGTTGTAGATACTGCTCCTTGAGTGCTACCATCCTGATGTTGCTGCTGCTGCTGTTGTTGCTGTTCTGATGGTATGAAACCTTGACTGATTTCCCAACGTGTATCATCAAACTTCATCAGACCATTCTTGACCACGAACTCGACATAAAGCTGTACATAGATCTGCTTGAGCACTGCTCGTAACGATTCCGTGTTGGCATCCGAATTCATGACAAATTTAAGTCCGGTGGGCGTCTCGTAATAATGCAATCGATACGTCGATGTTTTGTAAGAGATAAACTCGTCTTGACTAAAATTATACATACCAAAATAAGTTATTGCTATTTGCTATCATCCTCCAAGCTACTACTATACGGGTTCATAGCATGCTATTTATACTATACTTACTTTGAGCTAAGCTTGCGAACAAAGTTGCGTAAGGAATAAATAACACCATACACTAGTTTGGCTTCTTCTTCAATAGAGATGACGCTTCCAGCCGCTAAGCCGCTCATAGTAGGTTGTGTTTGACCATCGCCACTGCGCATGACAGAAGAAGTTGCAGGTGGAGTGTTGGTGCTGCTATTGCTCGGATCAGGAGACGATGAACCAGGACTTGAGGCCGAGAAACGCGATGATGTAGTTAGACCAAGTCGACTGCTGCTGCTAATGCCACCAAGGCCAGTGGTGCTGCTGCCGGGATGACTGGTGCCGCTGCTGTTGGGGCCCGTTGTAGGATTCGTCTTATGGTTCCATTTCTGAAAGTAGATGCATTGACAGTGTCGGTCAAAGATATAAAGGTTATGTATGGTCATTGTGTTTGTGAGGCGAGAAAGCGAGAAAGCAATGGCGCGCGTTTCTGGGTGCCTTGAAAATCGAGAGATTCAAGCTGCACTTTAAACTTTATTCAGCAAGCATTGAAACTAATCTATACTGATGTTTTGCACATTTACTTTTGCAATCTATGCTCGATTGTATATCAAACACGCGAGATTTAACCTTTTACTACATCCAGCGAAGAGCTGGTACTAGCTACGGCAATGCAGATTTCATGATATAACAATCAGCTAGCTGTATTCATCCTTGCTGTCCATGCATGAATGTTACATGCAGCAGCTTAAAAAACTCAAACCGTTTCAAGCCAGAATACCACTAATTACAATGTATACAGTATTTTATTAGAGATAATTATAGAAGTTTATTTAATTTAGGAAGTATATAGTGCAGCGCCAGAGAAAAAAGTAATTATCAATTGAATACTGACAGCAAATTTGCTATATACAACGTGAGGATTACTTTGACGGTCTTCATGCAAATATATCTTATATACTAGTCCATTTAAATACGGCTCCTGTTGTGTCAGCTATTTATAATAAATAAGTTGATAGGTATATAAAACAAATTGTTGAATTATATATATGTTTCTTCACCGGGTGCAAAATAATTAGAGAACAAGTATTTGCAGTTTTCTACCGTACATGTACCGATAGCTTTGTAGTGGCACCCTTCTCTCCTTATCACTGAAACCAGGCGACATTACGCTCTGTGATATCCGTAAATTATATCCCGAGAAGTAGCACATGCTCAACTCAAGTGTGATAGCCTTCTTCCGTCAAGTAAAAGGTAATGGCTACGATTTTCTTTGACATTTAGCGGCCGCACCACCAAAACAGCTTTTCTTTTTAAAATAGGGCAAAATACGATAGCAGGATAACAAGAAAGGAATGGCCAATGTGAAAGGGGAGGTGTTTATTCTTACGATAGTCAGAGAATATACCAAGAGTTACTGTTTTGGTATCACTGTGCCCAGGAAGTTGAAAAGAAATTGCAAGTCGACATTCATATTTTTTCATCGCTGTAAGACTTTTGGGAGCAGGTGGTAATTCATCATACGTCCATGTTATTGGACTCTCTTCTCTAGTCGGCAAGGAGCTTACAATACCCGAGCAGGTTATTTGCTTGAGTCTTCCGTTGACATTGCAGTCTTCAAACGTTGATCCAGGAAAAGCACCACCGGGACTGTAGATCAAATTACACGTATGGTTTTTAGCAACAACAGTCCATGAAAGTAAGGCATATTTTCGCATTACATTATTATCGCCATTAAGAGTTTGGTTTATAGCACATAGCAGAGATATCTTGTTTTCGCTAAAAGGCCGTAAAACTGGACTACTAGATCGATCCAAGCCGTTCATAGTCGACAGTCCTTGATCAGATCCGTAAAAATATTCATTAGCGCAAACACTCGATCGTACTTTTGACTGCTCGAGCGCATATATGCTTGCCAGGGAATATTGCCATCCCGACACTGGTGATGGCTTATAAACATACGTCAAAATCTCGTTTGATTCACGCAGCATATACCACCAAACATGCGCGTTGCGACCAAAAACAGCAACTTTCGAGACAGGAGCGCCTCTTCTGAGGTCCTTAGCCGTTGTGCCCAATTCACCCTCGTCAAATGCCTCACCACTTAGCCGACGGTGAGATAAATCCTTGCAGCTATGATAAGGCTTTGGTTACGATTTAAGTATGGAGCTCTGCGATCAGAGCCACGGAGCAGTAGACATTCCTATAGATTCGATGCATATTAGGTATTTCGCGCTTCTTTTCTTCCTTGTCTCCTTGTTTGATACACAATGGATCAAACCATACGTAGTTGATGCGGAAATCGCCATATATTCTCCGGATGAAGCCTTCAAGAGTTGACCAAAGTAACCTTACGGCGGATCCGTTTTCGGCCTTGTGGCCTTATTGTTTTGGCTGGAATGACGTGCCACGATGTGGATATTATTTTCCGGTCTTGCCCAACATCTTTTTCATTTCTATTCCTTTATTATTCATAATATTATTCTTCATCTGTGTCACTTCCATCCACTACGCCCATCTTTATTCGTTCATTTGCACCTTTACGTCAAATCCAAGATCCACTAGAAGCCATTAACTCAACATTACACCCACACTAGTTTAGCTGATAGCCTAAAGTCTCTACACTATGTATTCAAAAATGCGATAGTTAGTCCCACCGTGTTGATTCCTGATCCGATCCCAAATTACGTTCATTTAATTACAAGCTAAAACGTTAGTCTAAAAGTCAGCGCGAGCAATAAAAATCCTAAAACTCGTCTTTCATCGGTGTTTCTCTTAAACCGGATAAAAATCAAACTCTACTAAGCTTACACGTGACAGACGATCTTATGCTTTTGTTCGATCGACGCGTTTTGGGTTGCCAGTGGTTGCGTTTACAGTCACGTCCACGGATTGATCCCAAGAGTAGGATCGCGCGCAATATCCCTCACCTACTGAAGATTCCGGATTACCGTCATATCTGACGTGCGAACGAGCCACGAAGGAGTGAAATCTGGTTTTGAACGTGGAGACAATAGTTTTTGCGGTGGGTGGCAGGGCGCCGGTAACGGCATCATCTATTCCCAGCCAACCATTAAATTTACATCCTCCTTCAAACCGCCATTGCCTTGTTTCGTATTTTATATACACTCCTCTATGATTTGTACCTCTTTTGATAGATTTTAACGAAATTGATTCTTATAGCTAAGCTCAATATCGTATACATCTGCTGTAAACTAAGAAGAGAATTAGATGTTTACGTTATAGCACATATATTTTGCTTAACACTTAAGAGAAACAGAAATAATGGGGAGTGCTGCACTTAGGAGCTAAAAAAATTATGTGTATACATGATGTACGATCGGTTGTCAACTTCCTCTATGCTGTTGCGCAATGAAGTGATTTGGAACAAATCCTATTCACACTACTATTAAGAATTGAGGCCACTACATATCTTAATTTGCTTTATTTGCTCTCATCACATTCACTTTTTCCTGATTTACTATGTAGTCTAATATGATATCTAAGCAATCCTTTGGATTTATTTTTAAATGACGGCAGCGGCGTACATCATGTTGAAAAACAACATATGTCAATCCTTGCGCTTATTTCCGGTGGATATGCTTTTCTTTATGTAAGAAATTGGTGCTAACGGGATCCATTTGCAGAGACTCACAGTCAAACATGTTTAGAGGGTTTCGATATTTTAGTAGCTAGTCCTAAAAGTCTGAGCTTGTCCACCGTAACTCAAAACTCCTCAATCTTAATCAATCTTGAGTTACTTGAAAGTGCGGCTTAATGATGTTTGCGGATCAAGTTTAACCGACCGCATCTTTCCGCGGCAGCAGCACAAGCTACATTTGACATGGAGCTCGGGTGCGAGTAAAGCCACCTCCGATTTTCTTCTGCTTTCAGTTGACACTGATAACAACAATTACGCAACAATGCACCACACAACATCTTGAGCCAATCGAATCACGTACAAATATCAATTCTGTTTATTTGTTGATCTGCACAAAAGTGCGAAGAGGAGACGCCGGAGAAAAGATGCATCCGGGTAATCTTGTACTCATCTCAAAAACATATCAGTTATTTGAAAAATGGATAGCAACGCACTGTTTTAGGCTCTTGCTCTTTATGCCATGACAAGAGCAATGATTTTTTACGCTATATGACGCATCGGTGTGTAATGTGCTGCTACAAAAAAGCTCTTATTTTTGCATGACAGTGACCTTAAACAAAGGTTGCGTAGTCGCATATTATTGATAGACACTGACAGTTTTTGACATCCGCAGCTGTATAGAGCTGTAGATGTTTACGGTGCAGCAACCAAAAAAAAAAAGGCACGCGTCGTCATTAAAGCATTTGAGCGCATAGCTTACGTGTTATTGACATAAATGTAATTATGGAAACTGTCGCAAGTGTACGCTTCCTCTCCCGCTCCCTCTGTCCTTCCTTCCCACCCCATCCGCTTATCAATTTATTTAAAACCGTGATCATGTGGTGTCTCTGTACCCTGACAATCAGTTGTATTAAACCAGTCGGCTGGGTTCATACAGCAGATCCCGTTTATCTTCTCACAGGGAAATGACAATTTTCAAAAATACTATGCCAATAATGGGAAAAGAGTACAGAGGTGAGGCCTATAGCCGAGCGCCTACACCATATGTAATGTGTATAACCGAAAACACAGCAAAGATCCGGCAGATCAAACAAGAAGCAGCAATGCATTTATGGCTTCGAGCTTTACAAAGTTGATTGTAGAATAATTTACTATAGCACGTAGTGCATATTGTCAGTGTAGGGAGCTCTTGCTGAATAATCAAAGGATTTTGATAGTTTTTTTTTTTGGGGGGAGTAGTGGGGAAATAGAGATCCGAAGACAGCAGAGTAGGTCCCGTGCAATCATTAACTTTTATAGAAGGCCGCGCACGCTGCGCTTCAACTTCAGGTTTTATTTCTTATTCTCTCGTTATGAATGAGGCACGATGACAAATCAAAACGCATATACACAAGATATAAGCAGGCATAGATATAAAAAATTAGGGACTCTTCCAAATGTACACAGTTGACAGCATAAGAAAAAGAAAAGAGAGCGATTGTTTTGCTTTGAGGGGGTAGATAGCGTAGTGATGTAGGTAGTGTTGGGATATGATGCTTTTTGTAGTCGCAATTGTTGTAATAGTGATGATGAATGATGTTTTGATAGTTTACATGACTTCATGATGATGTTGATACTAAAGATGTTGATGATGCTGACGCCAGTGATGATGATGATGATGATGATGGTGTCGGTGATGGTAATGGTGCTAATGGTGTTTCTTGTCGTTCGTCGTTCTTTTTGTTCTTTTCAATGAGAAGCGTCCGTAGCCATTTGATCTCTCGTTCAAGCGATTGAACGCGCTCCTCCAGCTTTTCAGATTTCTCTGCCATGTCTTTGACCGTCTGTTCCATGGCTTGTTCCCGAACCTTCTTCTTTGCACGGAATCGTGCACTTGCTGCCGTATTGCGACGTCGCTTATCTTCTTCAACCGCTTCGCGCTCTTGGGCACCTAGTTCCTCGTCTGCACGTACTCGCTTATTGTTGGCGTTACGCTTTTCGGTTGAAACATTTGGCAGTTTCGCAGCCGGTACTGGTGGCGACGTGTTATTGTTCTTGGCTTGCGACGGATCGACCTTGGGCAGTAGTAGTGGAGGTGCTGCTCGGATGCCGGCAGCAGTAGTGGCAGCAGTAGTGATAGCAGGGACAGAGTGTTGTAGTAGTTGCTGCTGCTGCTGCTGTAATAAATGATCCAGCCCCAGCAATTTGAACAATTCGTTGCTTGGATCAGTAGTTGCAGTAGAAAATTGGGGTATATTCAAAGACAAAAGAGAGTTGGCAGCAGTGGTCGATGATGTTGGTGCTGTTGTTGTTGGCGCGTTAGAAGGCTTGTCTTGGATCGCACTTCCCGGAGCAACGTCAAAAGTGAATTGTGCATTGGTCTAATGAGCAAATGGAGGGATCGCACGTTGGGGGCACGTCAGTTACCTTGACTTTCCTCATATTACCATGACAACCAAAATAGCTTGCATGTGTGTGTGTACGTACCCATAGCTCTAAATCCTCCGTGTACGTTTCTGGGGAGGTGCTGCCAGATGATGATACTGTGCTGGTATCAAAGACAAGCGACTCGATGAATGGGTCATAAGAAGAAGACATGGCAACAGAAATATTGTGGAATGATGAGTAAGCTAAAGAAGAACAGATAATGCCATCTGGGGTTTCCCGATCTCCCCGCTTTTTATATCCTTCGCACAAACCCTTTCACCACGTTGCTGAATAATCAACGCTGCTTGCACCAAAATACTTCCAAATTTGGAAAGTGCTTTGCTCACCTCCACATCATCGCTTGCCGTCACCCCCCAACCCCCCAAAAAAAATTGACCTTGCTGGCTGAAACATGTACACGTCTTCAAAAAAAAATCGAGATGCTTCTCCCATGGCGTATATGGCAAAATACGCACGATTTCTCTTTTTATAGCAAAGGCTCAGCTGCCGTCCAGACAACAAGTATATCGACTCCTAAGTGACGGTTTGTTCTCCGCTACTGTGCTTGATGCGTATACATGCAACAAGCTTTTCTCTTTCTGCATCCGAGCGAACCAGAGATATTTTCCTGCCACGATAATCTTGTATTGTTTAAGCATATACAGAGTAAACCCAAGTATATTAATAGTAGGAATGCTCTGTATTAACGTTGCATAGTAGTATCTATTGTCCGTAGCATTAGCACGCCATTTCTATTAGTAGATACAGAAAAAGAACGTATAAATTGATATAGTAAAAGCTTAAACATATAACGGGATCTGCGCTGGTAGCTTTAAAGTAGTTTCGATGCAGTCTGCTGCTGCTTTGTAGTTGCCTTCGGCCCACGAACATATTACTGAGGCTTTGTGGGTGGTGTGTGGGCCGTAGTAGGGTAGAGGCTTCGTTCCTTCCCTCCCTCAGCCAATACCAATACCAATGCTCGAGGAAGACGTCATTAGCAGGGTGCACGACAGCTGCAGCAGAAGCCCCTCCTCTAATTCGATCCATCCGACAAGCCATGATGATACTCTCGATCCAACATCTGCGCTGTTGTTTACTTTATGCTTTTAAGATGGCCTTCACCGCATCATAAAAAAGCTCATCCTTTTCTATTCCTTCTTTTCTGTAACCAAAGGAGATGATACGTTTGTTCTGTCAAAAACTTGATGCCTTTGACATAATTTTTTTCTTACTGCTTCTCCCATCCATTTGCTAACTAGGTAATTAGTGTAAGTTTATATTATAGACGCCGTGCCTCTTTTTCGATCTAAACACGATACCATATACGCATCGTTGTCAGTCACATACACAGCCTCAGGTAGCTGACCGTGAAAATCATACGGGTGTGGTGACCTGATATTAAACGTAGAATATATATCCATACATGGATTGTTTACCCAGTGGTCATGTGTACTGTATATGTGCAATTCTTCCACGATGTCCTTTTCTAGTTTCTCGTCTTTTATCGTCCTATCCTATTTTTCTCACTATAGGGCTCCTGTTGCTTACAGATAAATCCGCGCACACGATATACTATATTTTTATATTCTGATTAGAGCAAAAAAAAAACATCAAGCGCCACTGCCCTTTGCAGATATGAAGCCGGAATTTCTGGACATAGGTGTAACAGTGTCGGCCCAGATACTTACAATCGGGAACGTGAATGGGTAGACAGTGTGGATCAATGAATAAGGTGAGACTCGGATATATCAAAGGATAAAACGATGGGGATCCATATAACTCAGGATCCCGTCTTTATATATACGTCGAGTAATAGGGGGCTAGCTATCGTCTAAGTATTGATCTACATCATGACTTCTATCTAGAATATCCACGCCTATTATTCAACCATGCGGTTGACCGCAAGTCATCCTATCTCGCTACATTGAGGAGAAAAATTTCACGAAAGCTGCCGCCATCTGTATTCTTAAACTCAAAATCTTGTTTTATGACAAGGAGAAAACCAGCAACGACTTGCAAAGCGCAAAGAAATGCAAGATTGTAAGAAATGGTTGCTGGGAACAAGACTCGAAGAGTACACAGTATAATATAAAGTCATCGTTACATTATTGCGTAGTGTGGCTAGACCATATTTGTTTTTGGTTTTAAGTATTGCTGAACCGTATATATCATACCCGCCACGATTTTTTCCTCCTTCCTCCTCTTCTTCATCCTTTCATTTCGAATCCATACTTCTTTTATTAAATAAATCTTCGCTTATAAAAAAAAAAGAAAGCCAAAGGACACAGAAAGGATTTACAAGAAAGTGCAGTGTGATGAATTTGATTTGTTCCTGGAAGAAAACCCACAGCTACATCCACCTGCCTCACTTCGCTAGCTTCCAAACTTAAATAAGTTCGTCTTCAGAGCTCAATCGAATCATGCGTGATCGCAGACGTGTCGCAAATACATCTTACCACGTTTATGATGGTGACATGTGGCGAGAGTTTGCTGATTGCGCTGTCGTCGTTTTTGATCCACGACGTGCTTGTATAAACCACTGCGGTGGGTCATATGTTTAGGATATTGGCATTGCAGGAATTTAGGCAGCTGGTGGGTAATACTTTCATTGTTGACAGCAACACTTTTTTTTCCCAATGCAAGAGCTGTTCGTACAGTCATAGCTCGTTGCTATAATATAAAAACAACTGCATATGCAACTAGCATCAAGCTGCACAAGACATTGGTCCGATTCACTCTGCCGTACCTACAACGCGTCGTAGCTTTATTAATAAATTCTGTAGACTTGAAGCAAGATTGACAGCTCGTTGGTTTTAAAGTCACAATGCACTTAATCAAGAGATGCGGCATCCAAAGAAATATACGAGGATAGTACAGCACCTCGGACTCGAGTTTTTCGGTATGTACTGCAACTGCCTTCTAACAGAACCGAGCTGTTGACCTTCTGCTTACTAGACAGACACTCAGCTAACAGAGACAAGTAGGCCGATCCGTCTACTACTACGAGTGGCACATAGTGCACTCATTACACACACACACACACACACACACAGCTTTCTCCTCGTTACAACACAATATCATATGCTTTAAACTTAAGAAAAATGTAGCTGATATGAAATAACAGATTCTGAATACTAAGTATGTTGATCTTGCTGATTGATGTTGTATGTAAAGAAAAGAATAAAGCTAAGTACAATTCTACAGTAGTGTTAGTTTTTTTTGTTTTTTTGGTTGATTGATAAATTTTCTGCCGTTTCTGGATGTGTGGGTGTGTGTATGTGCAGATGTGGACGTGTGGAGAATTGATTAATAAAGTTTTACTGTAAAAATATATGCAAAGAAGATGGGATTTAACAAAGAAGAGAAGAGAAAGGGTAAGGTTTCCTATCTTAGTACTGCTATGATAGTACTACTGCGTCATGAAAAAGATGGGGATGATTGCGTGGATGCTGGTAATTGTGAGGTACACCTGGTGGTGTAGATGCTTCTGGGATGGTAACGTAAGTGCGTTTGGGTTTCGGAGGTGGCGTGAGTGCCTTTGATGTTATTATAAAAGCAACAAAACAACACAATTTGTGTATGAGAGAGAGAAGACTTGCCGTTGGAAGATGTGATATATTTTGAAAAAAAAAAAAGTCAAATACATACCAAGAAGCAGACTTCGAGATCCTCCTTGTTCACCAGGCCCCATTTGTTATCGTCTTCTTCGAGCGCAAGTTGATAGGCTAGGGCTGCATTTACAGCCCATGCTGAGGGATCGTTTATACTGTCTCGTTGCTGTTGTTGGTTTTGCAAACAAATACCACGAATCAACCGTTCGGCCTCTTGCATTCTGTTTTCCCAAGCGGACGATGTCTTGAAATGTGTAAAGTCAATATCCCGGCCACGGAAGAGTGGACGACGTCGCTGTTGCTGTTTTTCGTTGAAACTTGTTACCGCTACCGGCGGTTGTGCTGATGTTGTGTTCCAAAAGAGCTCATAGGCCATGGTGGAGATATTGTTCACGATCAATGAGGTAAGAGACCAACATCCTTTGGTTGGTCGCTCGTCACGCGCTTGTTCTTGTTCTTGTTTTTTTTGTGCTACCTGGTCCCGCTGGTACGGATCATAGCAGGGGCCGAAAATTTGTCGCTTCATGGTGCCAAAGATGCCGAGCAGCCCCATCAGACCACTAGGTTGACTAGGTCGTGTTTCGACCGCTGTCGCCATCGTTGTCGTCTCACTATCACTAGTCGCTTGCTGTTGGTTCTGAGCCTTGCCGCCGATGGCCACGAAAACCTTGCCAAGGAGATATTTCCACATTTTTTGTGCTGGTATTTTTGCAAGAAGTTATAGAGAAAGAGATATTGGGTACAAGTGTGCGTAATGTGTTGCTCAAAGCACTGTTTGGATATTGAGATCAAGAGGTAGTAGTAGAGTAAAACAAGGGTTGAAAGTGGAAGATGAAGGAAAGAGAGATGAGAAGATTGAGGGAAGACGCACAGCTTTGATTGATTTTTATAATGTGACAGAGGCACTGAAGTGCATGTCACAGCTTTGATTGATGAAAACGTTCCATCTCCTGTCCGCTCTTTTTTTTAGGTCTGTATTCTATCACACATACACACAATCACCATTCTCCAAAACAGCAGAAAACCCATGCATTGCCCTTTCTCCTGCTGATTAAACGCTTTCCTTCCATAGCCTCTTCACTACTGCCTTCTTTTGTGTATGTACGCTTTCAATACGACTTCTTATTCGCTCTATGTTCTCTTGGGCTGTATCGTGTAGTAGTAGCAGTCATACCCACCTGTTTCCTTGGTTCAGACGTGTACGCAGCCCGAGTTAAAAATAATAAGCAAACATTCCGAAGCCGTAACCTGCTAAGCACAGCCTCCTCAACAGACTCGTAGGTCCGTGATTACATCATTGTTGTGTTCTTGTAGCTATTTGTCACAATAACACTTACTCTATCACCCACCATATGACTTGAATGCTATGCCGGTAGTCGTATATCAATCATCATGAGTTTTGCCTGGTTATCGTTTTGAATGATTAATGTCAAGACACATCGCGGAAGCTTTCAAAGCGTCATACAGATGTAATTCTTTCACTCTATCATCTACAATAGGACTTGAATGTTATGCCGGTAGTCGTATAGCACTCATCACGAGTTTTGCTTGGATATGCTTGGATATCGTTTTGGATGATTAATGTCAAAACACATCGCAGAAGCTTTCAAAGCGTCATACAGATGCATAAATCTTTCATTGTTCTGTCGTGATTTTCATGTGTCCTTCTTTCCAGCGATGAGTTATTCGTTTCAGTTCAATAATGTATATACGCCCCGGTGATGCAACGGAGAGACATGAGGATGTAGATTGAAACACCCTGCTGCTGCTACGACAATGGCCAATAAGGATGGTGGACACCTTTACATGTTCACTAAAACCTTGGGTTACACAAGGTTTAAAAAAGACATAGTTAAGCTATTTTACTTCATGGCGAACTGCCTGCGCGACTGTACAGCGAAAATATATAAAGTTCCGGATACCTGGGTTGTCTTTGACCCGTCCATATGATATGTGTACTACAGAAAATATTAGGCTGAGGGAGCACAGGAATAAATAACATTAAACTTATTAAATATCAAATATATAAATCGTCATGACGATCGGTGGCGAGAGCGGAGGGTATCGAACGAGTTCAAGCATATAATGGCCAGAACACTGTTTTTTGTTTTTCTCGACCGAGGCTAACTATATTAGAAAAGAAAAGAAGCGTCGTCAAACTGCGTTCATGATTTCGTATAAGGAGGTTAATGCACATGCGGCAAACTTTGTTAACGAACCTTGCGATGATGTGGTTTCTGCTCGGTTTGTGAGTGTACAGCAGTGTGTGTGTAAGCACTTCCCTTTGCATGAATTCTAGTAGAGCTAACAGCATGTCACAACCCTCGTCAAAAGCAATAAGTGCGAACATCTCTTTATTTGAAGTAAGATTTATCTATAACTCCTTGATTTTCTATATCACCCTATGCTGTTTGCCATGAGTGTAACAGTGTCGGCCCAGATACTTACAATCGGGAACGTGAATGGGTAGACAGTGTGGATCAATGAATAAGGTGAGACTCGGATATATCAAAGGATAAAACGATGGGGATCCATACAACTCAGGATCCCGTCTTTATATATACGTCGAGTAATAGGGGGCTAGCTATCGTCTAAGTATTGATCTACATCATAACTTCTATCTAGAATATCCACGCCTAGTACTCCATATTCAACCATGCGGTTGACCGCAAGTCATCCTATCCTCTGAACCATGCGTTGTCGATCGTCAACCATGCAGGTTGGATATCGTCGTAACGGTATGCACCGTTACAATAGGCATCTAGAAGCCATCGGTTCCAAACGTGAAGGGCAAAGGCTTCAGACCAAAGGACAGCGTCTCGACGTGTACACTAATATTAGTCCACACCTTCATAACAGACACGTTGCAGCTGAACTCTCAAACCTCAGCTCCAACAGCGACTCATTTAAGCTGACAGGCGGCTCTCTGTTTTCAAATTTGAAGCTTCCAGAACCGTTTACATCATGCACGAACAAGTAAAAGAAAAATTTCTCAGTTGTAAACTCAAGAGAAGAAGGGAACGCAGAAAAAGGGTAATTTTTCAAAAGTCGCAATGTATGATATATCATAAAAAGCATGATGATACCATCTAACTTATTCTCTTCCAACTTATAGTTGAAAGCGAATGCGAAGGTTCGTGAAGCCAAAAAAAGAAGTGAAAGAACCCCATTTATTGCGGTATACATCGCTGCCGATGTTCTTAAGCGTCAAAGAATGGATAGCATCTATATGATGCGGAGCGGAGGAGAACGCTCCCGGCAGGCGCATTGGGCGGCAACCACAGTTGTTACTTTAAAACGAAATTCGGTCAAGTCAAACATCCCGCTTCGCTATTCATCTCTATCACTGCTCCCAGCAACAAAGTTTAATTAAAGGCAAAAAAAAGCGAAGAGCAACATGCCACGGTGCATCGACGTGCCTCAATCCGAACTGTCCTGCCGTGATAAAGAGCTGGTTAGACATCCATGAAAACAGATATTCAGTTGACGCAACAGCAATCGGTATTGCTGCTGTAGCCACACTTTTTTTCCATGATAAAAAACGTTTTCATGCTTTAATCCATCATCACAATCGAGTAATAATAAACACTGTAGCCGCCAGTTTCCAACTCGATTACTAAACTGGTCGCTTGCTTTCGCCATTTTCCCATATGTATGGTACGTATAATACCTCTCGAAGATAGTCTTTTGGTGGTGGCAACTATATAACTGCTGTTATGCGATGCTTCATCTCCAAGTGCTGAACAGGAATCCACTGTCCGCAATCCTCTCAGCTATACCATGAGCGTCGAAATTGTTCATTGAGTTACAAAGCCCCCAGTAACAACTCATTTATTGCAGCAGATACAACTGGAATTCAATGACATGAGTGCTAGTTTTCAACGCAGTTTGGTTTAACTTGTAGTGATAGATGCTTGACTTTATAGTATAGCAAGCAAATAATAAAATTGACAAGTATCTTTGTTTGTTTTCAACTATACAGGCACATTCACGTATGATGTATTCTCAAATGTGATGGCGGGTGAAACATTGGACCCTGTAATCTACAAGATCCTTTTGCTTCTGACAACAGCTAAAACTTCGATCAGATTAAGCATTTACGTAACAACAAGACAATGACTCACCGTGATTGATACCAGCATTACTCGTTTGTTATGATGCTTTATTGTTCTTACTCTTATTTTTCCCCTGCACAACAATGAATTTATCAAGATACTGTACATTCAAAATTATCGCTATGAGCAAGGTTTAGATCATCGATGCAACATCGGATTGACGACACAGTACTTTTTATTGCACTCACCGCGTAAGTTGTCTATCAACGATTTTGATCTACACATAGGGGATATTACAGAGCTTACTACAACGATGATTAATTTTAGTAGCTTAGTTATTATATCAGAGAGAGGGTCTAGAAACAATAAGAAGGGCTACTATATCTAAATAAATGCCAATAAAGATGTTTCACTATGTGTACAAAATAGTGTTATGTGTTTATGCAGAAAATGCTCAGAAAGTTAAAGTGGTGTGTTTGTTCTTGCGTGCACCAAGCAAGAAGAGATTTTCCCAGTAAGATGCACCCCTCGTAGAGAGAAGAAGAAAAGGTAATCAGGAACAGGTCAGAATCAAGAAGTGCTTGTTGTCAATGCAGAAAGAAGATAGAGACAACCATTCTTTTTTTAAAAAAAAGGTATATAAAGGAACCGTTTTCAAACTGTTAATCATCCTCCATCACAACACAACAACAGCTCAAGCCAGAAAGAGCTCTTTTTCTCTCGCTCCAATCATCGCGACAACAAACGAATCCAACAACGACCCACAATGCCTTGTATGTTCTGCGGTAAAAAGACCCATTCCTACTCGTAAGCACCATTGTCTTTCCTTCACTTACAACATCAATTGCTTACGGTGGAACTTGAGGCTGGCTCACGCTAACACTATCCATCATCTATCAATCATTACTCTTCAAATAGCGGTTGCCCTTATGTCTACCGCCCTCCAGGAGGACGAAAGTAGATGGTACGACCGGCCAGACCTGCCTTCAAGCAGAACAAGAAATTTGCTTCTCCTAGCCCATGTCAATGTCTACCGCCAACTTTAAAGAAATGATTCATTGATGCCCATCTACCTATAATCACTCTTTATGTGGTTGACTATTAGTACCCTTCCAACAAAAACAAAAACATCTTCCGTTTGTCACAATAAACACCTTTTCCATTGGATCATTGAATATCAATATGTCCCATCAAAACTATTTCGTAGCGTTCAGCGACAAGGTATTTCTTGGTTATGGTTCTTTTAACATTCTCGAACATCTTTGATCGATTTCTGAAACAGCCGACACACATACGACTTTGATTGTTTCAGCCGTTTCGGCTGTACTTGGTCACAGTATGATAATGATCAGCTTCTTGTAATGATGATGCGTATCCTGGTGAATATTGATTGACGTAGCTTGACGATGATTATAATGGTACAAGGCATTCTTGAAATATAAAAATGGTTTTGCTGCCGTTGTCATTACTCTATAGCAAGAATCTCATTGAATGCTGGTTGAGTGTAGAAAGCAGATACTATGGCTTCCCTTTATCTTGAATTATCCAAACAGATCAAGAAACCGCTCATATCGAACTTTCGCCAAACCAGCATAACAAAACGGCACGTCCTGTGCGTTCACCTATACTACAATTCATTATGTAGCATACTATCTGGCACCAGTCCAACAAATACAGCGAATGCACTTTCTGTGTACACACATATTTCACCACATTAAAAAGAAACAATAAAGCTACTACAGTATCAAGAAGCGACTATTTATCCTTTTTTTCCACTTCAGCTACTGGCTCAACTTTTCTTTGCTGCCAGCGATTTGCGTACGTTCGATAAATAAGACCACTGGATAAGACCACTGCACTCCAAGCTTGAGCTTCTGTCGAGCTCAACACGGGCAGGTCAAACCATTCACATAAGGATGGCGTTGTTGCAGCAGTATAAAACACAGCTGTCATAAAGGATGCCTTCATATCCACTGAAGCGGTGTGTAAAAGACGTGGTGTTGAGAATGACCATTGAGGACTCGACAGTCGGAAAGCATCTGTTATCAAGAATATTGAAAATAGTATGTGAGAAAGGCACAGGGCTAGCAGGTTATGAGAAAACAAAGCATCAACAAACCTGCCCATAGTCCACCACCGCATCCACACAGAGCTCCGCAAATGATCTTGGCTGCCCACTTGTCATCACCGAGCTCTTTGTTACTGGCTACACTCATGATACCAGCATTAACTACTCCTGAGGTCCGCACGATGCCATCCGCAGCGGTAAACACTTGCTCCACCAATGGAATAGCAAACAGATATTGAAGGAATTGATAAAAGTAAGGATTCGAAAACATGAGCCAGTAAGTTGCCTGCGCAGTTTGGCAGTGATGACATGAAAAACCCTTTAGTACTTTCCTATCCTTTTTGTTTTCAAAGCGAATATCTGAAAGATACTTTACCCCGTATATACCCCAGAACCTGTTATTCTTTAGAATACCAAGAGGGTTGCCAAGCAACAAGGCTGAAGTCGATCCACCTCCAGCAGCCATGACAATGGTTGCAAGCAATCCCTGGCCCCAACCAATCTCGACATGACTTTGCTTGAGCGCAGTACGGTACGTATAGTTGATCAAGATGGCATGCAGTAGTTCGAGAATTGGAATGCGGACGCCAAGTGCAGGTACTTCAATTGCTGTGTCGCTCAACCCAAAGACAACGCCCACCAATTGACTCGTCAAAGTATTATTAGTCTCCATAATACTAACAAATGGAAAGAAAAAGGTAACCACGTATTACAGTTTGTGGACGCGTGATGACCCCGCGTGTCTTAGTGTACAATAGCGCATAAGTCCGCATTATTAACCACGATCGATTGCAGATGATCGCTTTGTTTATTCGTCTTTGTTACAAAGTATAAATCTATATCGTGCTTTACCGTCGCGCATGGCCTGTACTGCCTCAGGTGCTTTACTCATTGGATACTTTTGTATCCATGGCTTGACCCCCGTCTTGGCAGCGAAATCGAGCATGTCTCTAATTTCGTCCGGTGAACCGATAGCTGAACCTGTGATCGAAATCTGCTTGAGCACCAACAACATTGTTGGAATATCTGTCAAAGGCGCGTCAGGGGCGGCCACCATGATAAACACACCGTTTGCTCGGAGCAAACCGAGATACTTGGCCCAGTCAAAATTTCTGGCAAAGCTGGTACAGAGAATGTGGGTGAGCTTCCCCTTGTATTGCGCAAACTTGGCATCTTCATCGGCCGCGATAAAATCATCACAGCCCAGCTTTAAGGCGTCGTCACGCTTCCTGTTTGAGTGGGATAGGGCAATCACTTCTGCACCCATGGCTTTTGCCCATTGCGTCTATATTGTATAGTGGAAGCATTCCTTCAGTACATAGATACGCATAACAAACAGATTAAATACTTACACCATAGTGACCCAGTCCACCTAACCACAATCGAGTTATTACTTTGTATAAGAAAACCGACAGATAAGAAAATGCATGTAAACTCACCGATACCGATCACACCAACTCTGGAACCCTTGGTCACACCGTGACGCTTCAAGGGTGCATAGGTCGTAATGCCAGCACAGAAAAAGGTAGCAGCAATTTCGTTCGGCATGTTATCAGGCACTTTGAACACAAAATGATGGTGACCGCTCCATTTGTCCGCATAACCTTAAAGAAACTCGAAGCGTGAATTTATAAACAATATCACAGTGTTGAGTCGTTGTGTACAACAATTAAGATAAACAATTTAGACCATTTCCTCTCAACTTACCACCAAACGTTTTGTCACCGTTTGGCCAACGACCATTGTACGTTGGAATCACGCCTTTCTCACAAGTATTTTCCTCGTGGTCGTTGCAGAAATCACAGTTCAAGCATGAGCCGCATTGAGCACCCACGCCAGCTCGATCTCCTACTTTCACGTTCTTTACATTTTTCCCGACCTAGATGAACCGGATAGGGTATGAAATTTGTGTATGCTGGCAACTAATACCCTTGCAATTATCAAGAGAAAAAAAACCCACCTTTGTCACTACACCGGTGATTTCGTGACCAACAATGCAAGGGTAGCTATATGTTTAATTGAAGGTTAGTTTGTAAGCGACTCGATGAGGTCTTTGATACATGAAAATTTGAACACGTGACAGATATGTATACAATCATTGTGTTAAATTGTACTCACTCTGTTGCTCCCCATCCCGAGTCCAAGGTGAATAAATCAGAGGCACAAATACCACAATGAGTGATATCCATTTCTACCGTGTCATCGTCAAATTGCTTGCGTGGTAGGTCAGTCAGCTCCAACGGTTTGCCTTGTTTTCATGATAGATTTCAAGGTTTGTTGTTGTCGTCGTCGTTGTTGAGATAGAGGATATTGTTAGTTAATTGGTTAATAATAGTGATGGTATTGGGTTTATTACCGCCTATTACAAACCTTTTCCAAAGCAAGTCCAGCCCTTAATCTTTTCTTGTGATGCCATTTCTCTTTAAAATGATATGAATTGAAAATAACTTTCTTTTTTTTGACCATCTTTTATGTTTCTCCAATACATGGGTTCACAAGTAGCATAAACGCTGTAAATGTTTGTTTCACCGTCTTCTTCCCTGTCTAGCTTACATAATGGACACCAAGAAGAAATGGAATTAAGAATTGCCTTCATATAATAAATATTTCGCTTTAAGACAACTGGACATTGTATCCAGCAATGTAAAGCTCGTTTAGAAAGGGCAGTAGCTTCTTATACTTAGTGCAGCATTCTGGGAAAGGACATCCGTTTGTATATAACAGTTTCCTTGATCTTTACCTTTTCTCGACCCTTCTTCCTTAACACTCGTTCTCTAAACATCACAATTGCCAATATAATCTCACACCAACAAGTTGCTGAAGAAGGCGTTGACATTAGAGCAATTGCCGTCAGACGAAGCACTGGAGGATCGTCTAGCAGTGGTACAGTAGCAGGAGGAGTAGAGTAACCTACCGGCGAACTTCGGTACATATTTTAAAGAGCATCATCCTCACTTTGTGAACAGTCCCGGTTTTTTTAGCAGTCTGCAGGAGATAGCAATTTATTGCACTATTAGGCAAGAGACGCCTTACACATAATCGAATAGACATAATAGTCATTGGATAGGCTACGTGCTAGCAGCATATAAGCACGCTATATTAAGAACACAGGCCTCCGAGTGCTCGACATTGTCTTTGCACTTACCAACAACAGGAGACTTGGAAAGATTATATGTACTGCTTCCGGTATATTCTTGAATTTTGAGTTAACCTGTCCGCATGCCTTTATTTCCATAGACTTTCCTGAAACGGCTCTAATATTACGTGTACTTGAGGACGTTTAGATTTCCCTGAACACACTAAAAGCTACTACTACTAGAATAATAACACCACCACAATTATTAGCTCTTAGCAACGAGCTCAAGATATTCGTCATCTTGCGCTGAAGTATCTCAATATCAGTGAGGATTTCTGACCTTACACTTGTCAATAATGCGCTTCTTACGGATATGCTACGGTCAATTACAATACACAGTGGAAATTATTCGTAGCACAATACTGTCCAAATCCATACCAAGAGTCGACTTCCGCTCTGCTGAAGAGCCTTTCCTTACATCTTATTAGTAGCATGCTTCTATATCATAAAAAATAAAAAACAACTTCTTCACTTCTGTTACTGTACAATGATGCGTACTACTTTTTTTTAAAGAAAAACCATCATAGTCTACGTGGAAATGATGCTTAAAGATGTTCAAAAGAGCTCCGAAGATAAAGTCATTCTGTATATGCTCCAAGTTAATAATTTCCAGATAATGTCATGACGATTGGATATACCGGGCATTCATGATTTAACTGACTTCATTATAAAGAAAGTAGCCTTAGCAAGGTGGATTTATTGTATACATTTCTCTTATATTAGGGTGTTGATCGCTTAGTAGAGCCCAAAACCAATGTCGAGAGCGATGAAGTCATCTATAGCCAGTAATGTATGACACTATTTACGTGTAATCCAGCTTCTACTGTTAACCATTACAGCTCTATCATTTCTTCGCAGCAGCAGTGATATTAGATACCGGATGATTCAAGCCTCGTGTGATGAAGTAATATCTATGTCAGTTCATTACTCACTATTGCTACCATGGTCTAATCAGGTAATCAATGCCAAAAGACCGGAGTGAGTCAGAAAATCCCGGTCTGTCTATATATTTTTTTCGGGTTTTACTACCCGAAAAGTTTTGACACATATATTCTCTTTCCCCCTTTTTTAGCCCAACTAAAAAGAAAAAACTCCACCATGGCTGAAGACCGTAAAGCGAGTTTGGCTTTGTCCATTCGTGCACAAGAAGATAAAATTAAACAGCTCAAGACCAACAATGCCGAATCGACTGATATTGATGCTGAAATCGCTGTCTTGAAGGGCTTGAAGCAGGAACTGGACGCCTTGTCTGGTGGCGACAAGAAGAAAAAGGGCAAGGCTGGCAAGAATGCTTTTACCCTGAAAACCGCAAAGGTACATTGACTTTTTTCCTTTCATTCCAACCACTTTTGTGACAAATTAATTCCAATTGCGGGGAATGCCTGATTGATTGCTTTGGATAGGGTACCAAAGACCACAACGACAAGGAAATGGCCATTCGTGAAAAGGTGTTTTCCACCATCAGCAAGGTGTTCAAGAAGCACGGTGCTGTCACTATTGACACGCCCGTGTTTGAACTTAAGGTAAATAGCAAAAAAAAGAAAGCAAAAAGAAAAAAGAGAAACAGTGTGCTAATAATTCAAACAATTCATCTTGAAAATATCAAAAAACAAAAAGGAAATTCTTGCTGGCAAATACGGTGAAGATAGTAAATTGATCTACGATTTGGCAGATCAGGGTGGCGAAGAATGCTCGCTCCGTTACGATTTGACGGTAAAATTATCATTTGATAAACGAAAATGTCGCGAGAAGAGAGAGAGAGAGAGGAAGGAAAAAGGAGTATACTCATGGAAATCTGTGTCGTCAAATGGATGATAGGTCCCATTTGCTCGTTTCCTTGCAATGAACGGCAAAGAATACCAAAACTTCAAGCGATACCACATTGCCAAGGTCTACCGTCGTGATCAGCCTGCGATGACCAAGGGTCGTATGCGAGAATTCTATCAATGTGTGAGTTGGATAGGAACTTTGTGTGCGTGTGTGTGTGTGCATGGAGAAAAGCAAATGCTCATCTACAATTGTTCTTGCAGGATTTCGATATTGCTGGCACCTATGACTCGATGATCGCAGACTCTGAAATTTTGAAAATTTTGACTGAGGCACTGGATGCATTGGATGTCGGCCAATATACCGTCAAGGTAAGCCTTCCCCCCCCCTTCCCCCCTTTTCGTAATCAAGTGGGGATAATGATTGGAAGTGAAGGATTGTAATTAATCTTGTCCGTTTCTTTTTCCATATGTAGCTCAACCACAGAAAGATTTTGGATGGTATTTTCGAAGTCTGTGGTGTGCCTGAAGAAAAGATCCGTCCTATTTCATCCGCTGTCGACAAGCTTGATAAGGTAAAAATCACCTGGGGATGACTAATTATGATGGATGGAAGAAACAAGTAGTATATCTAATACATATATACTTCTATTTATTAGTCGCCATGGGAAGACGTCAAGAAGGAAATGACCGAAGAAAAGGGATTGCCCGAGGAAGTCGCAGACAAGATTGGTGAATACGTCAAATTGAAGGGTGGTAGAGATCTGTTGGAGAAGCTTAATGCTGATGAGGCTTTGAGCAACAATGCGAGCGCAAAACAAGGTCTTGCAGATATGGGTCTTTTGTTCGACTATATGGACATCTTTGATATCACCAAGAAGGTATATAGATTTTAAAGAGAAAATTTGGCTAGAAACCAAGGACCATTATTAACTTACTTTGCCTTTTCATGTTTTTTTTAGATGTCGTTCGATATGAGCTTGGCTCGTGGTCTCGACTATTATACCGGCATCATTTATGAAGCCGTTACTGAAAAATCTGCTCCTCCAGGTAAAAATAAAAAACTCTTCTGTTTCTTGTCATATACACGATAAGAGAAAATGGCATTTTAATACATATATGAAACATGATAGCTGTTACTGAAGGCAAGAAGCCCAAGACCAAGCCCAACTCGGACGAATTAGACGAGTCGACTGTTGGCGTTGGCTCTATCGCTGCTGGTGGTCGTTATGACAACTTGGTTGGCATGTTCTCTGGTGTCAACAAAAAGGGACAACCCAACTTGCAAATCCCCTGTGTTGGTGTTTCCATCGGTGTTGAACGTGTCTTTTCAATCTTGATGTCCAAGCAAAAGGCTGAAGAGATCAAGTCGAACGAGACCGAAGTGTATGTTATTGCTGTCGGTGACGGTTTACTCAAGGAACGTATGGAGATTGCCAACGAATTATGGAAGAACGATGTCAAGGCTTCTTTCTTGTTCAAGAATAAGCCCAAGTTGGATAAGCAGTGGGCTGCTTGTGAAAAGGATCATATTCCTTTGGCTGTCATTATCGGTCGGGATGAATTGGATAAGGGTGAAATCCGTATCAAGGATATGCGAAGCAAGGATGATAGCCAGGGCAGCGGTGCTACGGTCAAGCGTACCGATATGGTTCAAGAACTCAAGGGCCGTTTGGCTCAGATCTATAACCAGTAAAGGGGTGCTTTTGTTAAATTCATGAAGCACAATCTCTGTATCTAAAATAAAATATAATCACAGTAATTTAGCAAGCGTTTTTCACAAAAAAGAAAACTCTGCCCTTTCCATGTAATTCCACCCGGACACGTAGAGTGAGAGAGTGAAAGCAAGAGCCGAAGGCTGCCTGGAGTGGGAAGTATGCCGTTCGCATGAGGCGCTGCAACATCCGAAGATGGATAGAAACAGCTGCTACTAGGCGATACGTATGGTGCGCGGGAGAGGGAAGGGGAAGGGATAAGCGATATTAAAAAAAAATATCAATGAAGAAACGCAAGAAGATGAAGCTTTCAACGACTTTTACAGGTCCAACTCAAAGCAAAAAGCACGCGCAACCGTCGAGATGGATGGATAGACATTATAATGGAGACGCTGTCAGATTACTTGCCTTGGTGAAAGTATATGAAGACTACAAACTTCTGGGTGAACTGTGGTATCTATGGTGATTTCCATTTTAGGCAGTATCAAAGCACAGATGATCTTTTTCCCCTTATATGTTTCACCTTGCCGTTTGAATATTTTCTTTTCGTTTCCTTCTCCTCTTTCGTCAATAAAAAATATCACACTGAAACAACTCAACGTGGATCCTCCAATTTAAGCAATTCTTAACGCTATCAAGGACAGTAACGATTCAATGCTTGCTCTTGCGCGATCGGTCGGCTCCTTGGCGAGAGAAGTTGATGTCATTGTTAAGGCCCTTGAGGATCTCTCAACATCAGTAAACCTTATAGGAGGGGCTGTTGAAAGTATCAGAAATGCTGTCCTTTCACGTCCCTCTGTGGAATCCTCCAGCTCCGTATCACGAGCGTTTTCTTCTGGGCTGTTCGACGGCATTCACTTGACACGGTCCCACAAACGCAAAGTCGACTCACAGACGAAGTTTGTAATGGAGGAGCTGACCAGTCTGCGCCACGACGTTGCCAGGGAGCACCAATTGGATATCAAGCGCACCGACGAAGTCGATATCAGGGACAACGTATGGGGATGCGCTGGGATAATTGTCGATGGTATTCTACTTCGAACGACCTGGTCAGCATGCCAGAGACGACCTTGAAGGCGCGGGAAGACTTGGAGAGCGCATGCCAAGGATTTGCACCCTTGGCTGCGTGCGTGAACAGTTGGGCTGCGAACAAGATCCTGTAGCTTCGCGGGGATCGCGCAATAGGTTACAAGAGACGCGTTGCCCAGGGCGGCGTCTCCAAAAAGAGCAGTAAGTACATACTAGGAGTATTAGCGTTTCCGGTATATATACATATAATGTTTACCTTTAAAATTTTACAGTTTTGAGACGTCATAATACATCATCAAGCGCTACACAAGAGGAAACATCTGTTTCTTCAGAAGAAAGGTATATATACTCTATCAATGCTAATGTACTTGACATACTTTATAGCAACTACATACTCACACACTGGTTGTATTCAAGCAGTGATCGTCAGCACCGTGAGGTCGCATTGCTGTCAACAGCAACTACAGACGTCGTTTCACGGCTCCTAGTATCAGAGTCAGAAGAGGAGGAAACGGCGCAACTGCCAAGTTTGTTGCTGTCTTTACACCAAGGTAAACAATAGATCAACGATCCATATTGCATAGCATGAAACGAGCATCCACGATATGCTAACACGATTAAAACAGAGACCACATCGCGCAAACGCGCCCGTTCATGTGATGGCTCTGCTGATGACTTATCTGACAGCACCAGTGGCTCTTGCGCCGGTGCTCGTGGTGGTCGTGGCGGTCGTGGTCCTTGTGGTGGTCGTGGTCGTGGTCGCAACTAATTACAACAGAATGCCCAATTACAATTTTGACCTATGAATAAAATACAGTCATCTCTTATCGAATAATTTTTTCGTATATCAGTGGTCGCAACTAACTAGAAATGAACACGTAATTTGCTTGTATACTACACAATCAAATATGATTTGCCAAAGATTTATAATAAACATGTTGACATCTACAGTAATCAAAATCAGTTTTTGCACAAATAATATGACAGAAGGTCAATGGAGAAATGTGAATATCATAGCTGATGAAATCCAATGATGCCCCCAAACGGATACAGCTGTACGTACAACGACCAATAAGACACGATGTATGAACCCAATCATAAACACAGTTGAACGCATTCCACGCTTCAGCCGACCAATAAGACGAATCAGAGAAACCAGATAATATAAGGTATATTCAGGTTTTTTAAGGTATATTAAGGTTTTTTCTTTCCTACAGTGTATTTGTATATATTAACATTTGGCGATATTATATGTATAGGTGGCAGCTTTTTATTGATAATTATCAAAGAATATACTGTATTGATTGGCCTTTGCAGATCATATCATGTAAAGGTCGCATTGAATGCTAATTGTTACGATATATGTATGTATCGAGGCATGATACAATAATATTGCTGATTTTTGAATAGCTGCCAGATCATATTTTGCACAACAGGAGCAATTTATAGGAACAGCATCGTCTGCACATAATTGCACCGATGCAATTTATAGGAAGAACATCGTCTGCACGTAATTGCACCGGTGCAATTCATAGGAAGAACATCGTCTGCACATAATTGCACCGGTGCATCATAGGAAGAAGATCTTCTACATGTATTTTCACTGCAGTACATCGATAAACTGTTGCTGATGAAGCTGAAGCAGCTCGTATATGTTGTGTCATATACTTTAGCTACTTTAATAAACGTCGACATGTATAGAGTCCTGACCCCTTTTACTTGTCATCGATTTGCCGTTGGCAAGCTTCAGAGCCCTCTTCTTTGTCATCGAATTTACGGCTGGGCATTTTCACGTTGCTTTGTGGCTTTAAAAGACTGTGAGTAAATTACTTCTAGTATCAATCTAGTAAACGGCCTTCCTACTACATATCAAATGCGAACTGGCATACCATCATCTGTATCAGGAAGAAGCGTTTCACGAAACGAGCGGTTTATGAAAACAAATCAAAAAAACCATCGACAAAAGTGTCTTTTTGGAGACGATAACAGCTGAATATGGTGGTATCATCGTATTCGTCTCATCGTCTTCTATATGCTTGGATGAAACATGAAAATCTGTCAGAAATGTTTTTGTCGAAACAGACCGTTTTTGATCAAAAGGACAGGCTAACTAACCCCTTTGCTTTACTGCAAAAATCACACCGTTTTCCATATCCACCTCTCGTCTTTTAATATTGTTTCATCCACGTAAACAAATCGTACAGCCCATCAACTAAATATCAATCGACTCCTTGAGCACTGCTTTACAACATATTTAAAGCTCATGGGAATCGATGATATTTTTATGCTGAGGTGCTGGAGGTGGTAGTGCGATGCGCAGTAGGTGTTAACGTGGATAAAGGTAACACAATACTTCCTTTTTGGCAAAAGATTTGACCATACTAGGCAGCGACATGAAGTATAAAGAACCTTGTTGGACTATATGTTTTGACCCAATGCCTATAGCTAGTAGGCTATCTGTGTCATACACTGTTATGGAATTTTACTTTCAAATTTGCTCAAGATAGTTACAGTAAGTTTTATGTCGATGTCGAAAACAAAGGTTCACAGATTCGATCTTTTGAGAGTTCTGTTTTCTACCAATGTTTCAGGTTTGTTACTATGGTTGTCTTCCCGTGATGAAGAAAAATGCACGCTTTTGAATAACGAGCTGCTACCACTTTTAAGCTGATTTACACTCTGTCTGTGCACTATCCAACTATCCGAGACGCAAGTATGAGCAATAGCGGTAAATATATTTGAATATTGTATCTATGGATGTAAAGGATCAAGTATTTGTATGAAGTTTTGTTCTTTTCAATTAATTAATGTTTTCAATCCAGTTTTCGAATTGAACTGGGCTGCCGGTTCTTCGTCGTCAACTTCATCAGTTTGTTCGTCATCTTCTTCCTGATTGCTAATGGTGGTTGATACAGATCGTAGCCCTGCTGCAATTTTAGTAAGACGAGTTTTCTGCTCTTCGTACCAACGCTTAGCCCCCACGAGCTTCTGCTTGCAAACACCGATTGTCCCAAGGTCTTCGTCCGAAATATTAACCCCAACCTCGGGATCCTTGGCAGCAGCTGTGAGGTTGTTAACGACGTCGTTTCCATATCTCAGCACCGAAATTGCTTCGTCCTATAATATGTGTTTATATCTGTAATGAGAGCGAATCCAAAAAGAACCTAATATAATACTGTGCAGACCTTCAACATATGCGACTCTTCTTTAGCTCTCAGATAGCCATGTAAAGCATCGTAAGGTAGCCCATCACCTATGGTATTAAGAAGATTGGCATGCTTTCTGAACTGGCTGTTTTTCGCCAATATACTAGAAACACTGTACTCAAATGGGCTCAAGCCTGAAAAACATTTATTGCGGTTTGTGAGAAAAAAACAGTAGAAAAATATGTAGAGCATGTCTTTTACCTATCACCGAATGTTTTCTAGCGACGTTATTATAACTATCCGAGCATTTTTGGACGGGCTGGATCTTTTTGGCCTGAAAGATTTGAGTACGGTTGTGACCTTTGTAGAGATGTATTATCTATTTAGTGAGTAACTAGGCATATAGTTTAGGAAAGGAAGAAAAGAAAAGAACAGGAAATATGTATCCTTACCGTTGCCTTGCTTCTTGAATGCTCGATCAATGATGTCATAGATTGAAACGGCTACACGAAGAATTTCATATGCATTGCTAACTTTTTTTTTGGTTCGTCCACTTTCTGTGATGGGATCAGATTTTGCAAGTGCTATGCGTTCGTTCCATTTTTGTAAAAAAAACTTCTAGCTTATCCAAATAGTTGGCATCACGAAGGGCTTTTTCGGCGTCGTTTAGCAATCGAAGGGCGCGCGCATGTTTCCGTTGGATTGTAAAACCTTAAATATTTGCGTTAATATATAGTGCCATCCTCTTTTAAGGCTTTAGCAATTATATATAATGATTTTATGTACCAATGTTGTCAATTTTTCTTTTGCGAAAAACTCGAGCGCAATAGTAAAGGCGAGTCGCCTGTTGAGAGACGACATAGTACGTGTGATGGATACAAAACCGTTGAGGTATGACCACATTCGCTCTAGTCACTCGCCATCGATCATGCCAAAGCCTTTTACCAAACGAGGATGAAATTGAATTTGGCAAGCAACATTGTGTCCGGTAATATGAAAGATACCGACCGCAATGGGAACATCTTCGATGTCCTTCAACTCTGGTGTTTTCTAGAAAATTATGTTAGGATGTGGACACCGTGCACATGAGGTAAGTTATAAGTAGTACCTTTAAAGCAGTTCGTAGCTTACAACCAACATCGTACATAATACGAATGTTGTTTCCGTACAGTTCGTTGTATGTCACTTTTTTCAAGACACTAAGAACATAGGTATAACTAAACGTACACAGAGTGAGTACTTTATACATGACCAGACAATAAAGAGGAACAGCAAGCTAAATACCGTTCGCCTTTGCTACGCATATCGACTATAGCAATCGGATAGCCGTGGCGACCACAGGTACACGCAAAAGCACCGGTTTAATCAAGACCCTTGGTCGATCCGTCTTGCTTTTCAAGCGCGCCAAAAGAGGCACAGCCATCTTTAGCCTTATACATGTAATCAATATAACTGTATTAGATACTGTTACATGACTCTCAGAATATATATCTTACCGATTCATTATAAGGGATGAGCGTTTCATCGTTAACCCAGAGCATGTTCACTTCTTCTTCATCTTTAAACTTTACACCCTGGACATCCTTTACGTGACGAAAGCGCCGTAGCTGGAAGCTTCCGTCTAGTGCTATAGTCTTTTCGTGCTCCTACCATAGATTTAACCATGACAACCATAAAAATATGTAGGCATACTTTTGTATATCTTAATTTTAAATCAAAAAAATTGAATCACTACAGTACCACGTATCTGCAACCTGGGCAGACATTGTTCTCTACACCGAACTCTTTCCTCAACTGCTTTTTCAAGCTTAGAAGTATTCTGCCAAAGATAGGCAGCGCATCGTTCAAGCGAGACTTGAGAGAAGCAGGAACCTAAAAAAACAAAAAGTACATTTAAAAGGTCGCTAGATGAAAGATTGCCCAGAAAAAGTAATACCTCTTGCTCAAAATCTGCTTGTAGCCATTTTGCAATATTGTGCACAGAGACGCGGCAAATGTAATGCAAATTGTGATTTGTCTGCATCGACTTGATATGCACTGCATGGCCGGGGGCTTTTGGCGTCAGAGGAACCTTATGACTGCGCATTAGCACCAAAGGCAAACCGTAGTCAGGGCACGACTTGCAGTATTCGATGTCAAACTGTCGAATACCTAGAAAAAACAAGGGTATTATTTACTTATAAAGTATCCCAAAACCTATACTTACCGCACTTAAAAGATACAGGCGACAGCCTTGTGGGCTTTTTTATCAGCAGCGCAACCGCAAATCTTATGGATGGCAGGCTCGAGTGCCTATGAGACCGGTGCTTGCTTATACCCTTCTTTATAGACTTTGAGCAACGCAGGAAAAAGGTTAGACCAGCGTACTGCACGCTTGGCAGCTGCAGTCTGACATCTTGGCAGATCGTCAACATGGTCCGCTTCATCATCAGTTGACCATCCGTCAGATGGAGAAGAATTAGCTGGCAGTGATGATGCTCGAATTTCGAATGGCGTGGTTATATCACTTGCAGTCGACTTATTGACCGTGCTTGTCAATCTGATAAGCTTCTTCCCTTTATCCGAGAATTGATAGGCTTTTGTTGTTTGTTTACGCTTTTGACGTATATTGGGAGACATGCTTATTTGCGCTGATAATAGGAAATTCAGGCACACTCAGCCACTTTCTGTGTGAGCGGAAAACTCATTAGCCGTACACGCATAATTTGCGGCGCGGATTTGCGGTTTGCAAATTTTGGGTCAGTATTCTTTTCATTGCGGAATCATTGTTCCTAGGACGAAGTTCAGTCGCTCATGTGACAAACTCGTTCCCTTATTTTTACCGCCTACCTAGCCGTTTCAAAAAAATCACGGAAACGGATTTCGGAAATTACTTTCTCCGAACGGTTAATCATGTAACCGAACCAAAATCCGTTTTTTCAGAAAACAATGCTAATCAAGCTCTGATTGATAAATAACTATGAGATTACTACTGCTATGTCCGCACGCACACTATATAAAATGACATGCTATGTACTGTAGCCTTTTCTGTTATATTATCTCAGCTTCTCTACCTGCATTATGTAGAAAAATGGTTTTTTTTCATGGAACCTTCCATCCCTGGACGGTTAGCATCATTCTCTTGCAGTGTCCATGCTGATAAATCCAACCGGTATTTCTCTCATAATAGTCCATTCATCATCTTGCTGACAATAATAAACTTTAGCCAATAGCTTGTGATATTTAAAGTCAATCCACATCAATATACAGTAGATTTTTTCACTGATTGGAGCGAAGATAAGCCTGTAGTATCGTGCTGTAAACCAGGCTGTTGTTATACTACACAGCCACTTAGTGCGTAGTATAGTGTCTCTGGTGGCTGACTTGAAATTCCAAAAAAACTGTGGGGGGAAGGAGTTGGAGCGTGGGCCTTACCAAAGTTGAAACCTCTGTTTGATCTTTAGTCACCATGCTGCAACAAATAGCCACTCCCAGCTATATATACTTACTCCTTGTGGTCGCCTTGCTTTTAGTTCTCAGGATCCAGTCTATAGCACGCCATATTTTAATGTGACATATCAGAACAACCCATCGAGAAACGTGCGGAAAGAAAATCAGTTGCTATACTGGGAATTCTTACGTCTCTTGATAATGCTCAGAGTAGCCATGATTGCCTTCTTGGATCAAATATATACACTTCTCGTTGGCAGGCGTACAAAGAACTATTTAGCCTTAAAAGGAAGAAAAACCACGCTCATTCAGTGTTTTTCTACGTCATATATTCACGTATGTGTGTGTAATTTTTCTAGACTCAAATGGCAGCACAACAGCACTATCACCATCCAGTACCACCTCCAACGCAGCAAGTGCAGCCTATCCCGCCTGCGACCACGACATAACAACCACCACCACCAACCAGGTTTACTTTCATCTACCGCTGGTGTTGACCCTCAGCAATAACCACAACAACAGGCAGCCATCACAGATCCTGCTGCTGCATTAAGCCAGTTGGCGTAGATCTTGCAGAGCCAACAACAGCACCAGCAACATCAACAACTGCCATATTACCCACCGTCTTCGGGTGGATGGAATCCTGACCATACGCCACAGTAATACTGATAAACTGATGAAACAAGACGTAATGTGTTGTTATATATGTGTAGAAATGATATCTTTAACCTTGATGATAAACATGGCATAGAAACGAACAGTGATACTTACGTATATATCTTGTGCTCAGCCGAATTACTCCTGTAGTTAATTACATGTTATGAGACCTCGTCCATAATACAGTTGTCCAGGACCGCTTGTTTCAAGTACGGTGAATTTACACCATCATCATGACGTAGGCGGTTATGGGCTTGTTCATCTATATTTCGGAAGCTAACAGTTTATTAAAATCTTCGACCTCCCCTGACTTGGACTATCTTAAACCTTCGGCATGCGTGCTGTATACGCACAGGCCAACGGTTTATCACACTTAACGTTAAAACTATCCATTTAAGGAAAACAGAAATCGGCAAAGGACGTTCGAAGCGATTCCAACCATGACTACCCACCCATTGCAGCTATTACTCTCAAAAATCATATTCCATAACCGTCTCATGGATTTACGTTTTGGCCACCCAAAAGGCTATGTAAGCCCCCTAAATGTTACAGCCAACCTTGCCTTATATAAGCTTATTTTTACGTGCCACACTGCATGAACAATGGTCTCTTTTTTTCTATTAAAGTAAAAGGATGATTTATTTGTTTGCACGTACAGTAGCTCTTTTATTTTATACAGTGTGACGCTATCCTTCTATCGCTCATGTATTCCGAAATTCTATTTGACGTTGTATCATTTGTCCTTTAGAAAGAAAGCTCTAAGCCAGCTGGATGTACCTGCTACTGTATACATGGAGCTACTAATCCAACTAAATGCTATTCGTACTTTTCAAATTGTATAAGCAAAGGTATAACTGTATTTTTATTGTAATTTTTTAAGTATGAGGAAGCTATTTAGAAATGCATTGGCATTGTGTCGGGTTCGGGGAAGGGCTACATCAAAACAAAGCACCAAAAATGTGTTAGAGCAGAACAACTAACAAAAGCACGTGAAAAAGAAAAAAGGAAACTTGCCTCTTCTTCCCCGATGTGGCGGCCACTCTTTGTCATTGATGTTGTTGCCAATATGTCATTGAGAAATTGAGTACATTAATTTTTGGAAGGTGCAAAAGGAGAGAGAGAGAACAAGCGATGCGATAATACATACCAGCCGAATTTTTCTGCGAATGTTATTACAAAGCTATTTATAGTACACGTACTCATATGTAATTAGTGGGACACTCCACTTGACAATGGGAGCAACGGTAATGTCAGCAGCAGCAGTGAAAAAATATAATGAAGCACTTACCCAACGTCGGAAAAGTTGACAAACGCGTATCCAACGTTGCGATTGCGCCTTGAGTCGAAACTCAGAAATAAAAAATCGTATGTTCCGCTGTGCGTGGCGTCAAGGTCCTCCTTCAGCATTTGCTAATCAAAGCATGAGATAGAATAAGAGAGAAAGGTCCGTTAGGGATTTGTCGAAGATTAAGCATAGTATGTAAGCACAGAAGATGGAGATGGATTGCAGTGACAATGAGAGGTTTGTTGGTGGGGACGAAACCTACCTGGGTAAAATTGCGTGGTATGTTACGTATCAGCAACGTCGTACGCGTATCCCCTCCTAATGTTGGAATTTGGGAGCAAAGTACGCAAAGACAGTCGGTCCAGAGAGAGCAAGAGCAAGAGAGACAGAGCTATCAAAAAAAAAAAAAGAAGAGGCTCGAGCGTGAGTAACCAATAGCACAGTCATCATCATCTTTGACACACACCATGTACACTCTTGCTTCTCTCCTCCTTTAAAGCAGTAACCGGGCGAGGCCGAGGAGGAGACGGCTATAGAAATGAAAGAAAGCAAGAGATTTGATCGTGAGTCGTCGTGATACTTCTTGACAGACATGCACACTACCACACGCACGGCCATGCGATGGATCCCGTTTCCCAAGAGTTATACGTACAGTTGGTGACGAGGAGGAGAAGGAGAAAGAGAAGGAGAAAGAAGCGGAAGAGAAGAGGCCAAAGAACTATGGATGGGTGGGTACGCGTACCTTTTTATATAAGATTCGTTGTGAATAATTGGAACAATCGATTAGATTCTTTGGCAATTGCGTGATTTGTCTGTTGTCCAATAGCCAAACGAGCGCATAGGCGATGAGGTCAACATTAAGAAAGAGCACAATGCATGTTTCAGTCAACAGTGCGGCAGAAAAACGATCGTTTTTCATTGACCATTCTACATTATTAGCTATAGTGTCGTCGTTTATTATTCGAGGATTGTATCAATATTGGCATCATTCTATAGCCACGGCTCTGCTCTACATGAATCTTTCTTTGCTGAATGACGAACATAGTCAGTTTATATGAAAAGGAAGGAAGAAGAGGTCACTGTCGCAACTGACACGAACCAACTGCATGCTTCAGATTCGATTGTTGGAGAAACAAGTTTTAGACACGGTGGAAGGGGAACCTGGCATCGTCTTTTTAAGACTAGGCAATTTCCAAAGCAATATTCCGCCGCAATTATCGTCGTAACTGTACATGATATTAGTATCATGTTAAAGCTAAAGACCTGCCCTTTCTTTTGATAACGTATTGCTAATGTGTCATGAATGGATAAAGAATGAAGGGGGAAGGAGTAAAGAGTTTGTACAGGACTCGTGGGAAGGCAAGTTCCCGATGCATGAATTTTCTGCAATTGCTTCCGCTGCACACAAGTACGGGAAAACATTGACGCGTTTGTTGTATAGAAAATGATCGTGCTATTTTGTGCGTTGTAGCATGCAAGCCAAAATTAATGAGAGTGTTATCCTCCCAGTAAGGAGGATAAAGGTACCCGACGAAGGGTTATGGTGTCGCATCAAAAGTTGAGAGGCTAAATCAATATGAAGTCACTGCGCTCAATTTAATAGTAACACTGCTCAAAAGAAAGAGTATGTAGCAATTTGAGGTATACTACGCTAATATTTCCCTGGGACAAAAAGACTTTATATAAGCTTAGTTGTATGTCATGGTTGTTGAGGGACCAACCCTAAGCTCCTGCCTCTCAATGTGACATTTGATTATATAGACGTGGAATATCATGCGTAAAAAAGGTACATCTCGGATTTTGCGTATGACTATTGCAATTGCGTTACCGTCGACAGTGACGATAATGAAGTCCACCAAGTTATCGCTGAAAGATCAATTCTCTGACGCGTTCGTTCTGTGTGATTAGTTTTAAAGTTATAAAAGCTAGTTGATGTGGACGTTTTTCCTAAGTACAGCAAGTTGGCATTTTTAATTTTCAAACCCATACTATGTATTTCGTCTTATCCATGTTATTCCATCTATTTGCATCATGGCTCTTCCGCACAAAAATCACACCCGGCAGGGTACAAGCCCTGCCTCACCCCAATCGCCCCCAAAACCGCAAAAACTCGACGTTCCTCGACTTTCATACGCCAAAGTCGTTCAGAAACATCGACAGTCGCTCATGCGACAAGAATCAGAGACTAGAGAATTGCTTGACGATAAAAACAACACCCGCACTACTCGGGTTATCCATTCCAACATCTGGCGTGTTGGTGGATCACCCGCCTCAGCAGACAGTGTCTACTTCGACGTTAGTAGCCGTACCGAACCAATCCCGCGTATTCTTGCCACCATCAACCAGCAGTTCCCCGAGAATTGTGGTGCGCAATCAATCCAAGAAGGCCCTCGCGTTATCATCGAGCTCTACTCTGAGGACCCGGAAGTGATTCAAGCTGCCTTAACCCAAGGACTTCACTTTAAAGACGGCGTTATCATTCTCGCCTGCAACACTCTATCAGGAGATGCCCAGATCAAGAAAGTGCGCCTATCCCATCTCCCCTACAGGAACCACACTGCATTAGTCGCGGGCATTATCAACAGCCTCAGCGTATACGGCAAGGTATTAGACTGCGGCATCTATTGAGACGCCGTGTCCGGCATGTACTTAGGCAATGGCTTCGCGGTGCTGGACCGCCAACCTATACGAGATGAGCAACCTTACTATGACCTCGCACACCGTGTTCAATGGGAAACAACTGAAGACTGCTTCTACGCCACCTGGGCCTCCATTGTTGTCCACATATTGTTTTCCTTTTTCTCTACTCGTCTTTTAATTCACACACCTATAAGTTTGACCACTTTGAATCATCACTCTTAAATATGAAATAAAGGTCAATTTCTGTGAAACGGGTCAATACGATGTGCGGCGAAAGGAAAACTTGCTTGTCGCTAGAAAATGTAACAGTACTGAACAGTCAGCAACAACTAGAAGCAGAAAGCCGTCTTTCGCAGCTGAAAAGTACGAATACAGACTTGATGACGAAAAAGAACGAAACACAGAAGGCTTCTATGAATTTGTGGTCGAAGATTAAGAAGTTAAAGAAAAATCAGAAGGCCAGTGGTGACGACGTGGTCAAAACTATATTCAAGAACCTATTTCTCACGAAAACATGAGCCCTTGTAACGGTGTCGGCCCAGATACTTACAATCGGGAACGTGAATGAGTATTATAGACAGTGTGAATCAATAGAAACAAGATGAGACTCGAATATATCAAAGGATAAAACGATGGGGATCCATATAACATTAGAATCCCGTCTTTATATATACGTTGAGTAATAAGGGGGCTAGCTAACGTTTAGGTATTGTTCTACATCATGCTTCTCTAGAGTACCCCACGCCTATTACTTTTTATTCAACCATGCGGTTGATCGCAAGTTATCCTATCGTCTGAACCATGTGCTGTCGGCTGTCAACCATGCAGGTTGGATATCGTTTTAACGGTATGCACCGTTTACATCTACAACAGTTCAAAAGCGTTCCAACGTTAGCAGATCAACACTGCATTGATTTCCCGCAGTGCACGGACCTCAAACCTTTGCATGAGCAAGCATCCTTATTCGCCTACGACATCAAGCTTGCGGGCACAGATTACGGCACTTGCACAATGTCGCGCACAGTGAAAGTAGGTGTAGATTATGTCAAGGCTCTCATCAACGTGGACAAGGCAAACGAGCTTGGCGTCATTCCAAATCAAGAGACATTGGCCGCGTTGCCTGTCGTCCTGCCAAAAGCCTTCAACATTCATGCGGCGGAATTATGCAAGAGATCGTTTGAAACTGAGAGGTGCAGACGTCCTAAGCTTAAGGTAAATCAACATATCTTGCATATAATTGTTATTACTATCAATATTAAGATTTAAGTAATGTGGGCTTTAACGTACCTCTTGTGTTACAGCCTATCGACGTTGTTGTATCCAACATGATCAATAACACATATTATTTGACCCGTCATTAACGATTGCTGTTATTTCCCTCATAACCACACTTATGCGGACATTTCCTCATCCATACACATCTTGGTTAAACACGGATTAACTATGCTCAGGAAGAAGTTGTCATTATACAAACGGATCACGCAATTCACATTGGCTACTATCTGAAGTACTTACCCGGATGTATCATTTACTAACGCATCACATATTACTTGATCCTCTATAATTGATTTATTACATCAATCCATCTGTTCAATACGGATCATAATGCTTCAAAATGACTGGTGCCCCAGCTATTATGCTGGCAGTGTGGCACTCGCGGCAGAGATCAGCAATCGGCTTGCTGTGTTGTTGCTTCCGGTCAAGCTGAATCAGTTTATGACCATCAAATAAGCCCTTTCCATTGAACATTTATCCTTGCACATTTTAATGTTGTGAAGACAAAATAAAACGTGTTTCTCTTTTTTAGGTCTTTGCGAATCAAAGACCATTCACCATAGGCGATGTGTAAGAATGTGTGTCTACGTAGTTTTTTGGACATTTTTTGCACACAGCTTTGTGTAGGATATGTATCCTTTTGCACACTCATTGCACACAATTGTGCTGGTTTCGTACGTTTTTACACACACCTTCAACGTCTGACAGAGTAACACTAGCGTTTCATTGGGTAGATATAACAGCATTTCTCCAAAAACAGGCTTCTCACTGGACGAGCCGTACAACGACAGAAAGTAACTCTCGATTATCATTGGACCAAACATACTATTCAATTGCTTTTTTATAGATATAGGATATAGTGTTTTAAACTTTTTTTTAGGACAACAAAAATCTGTTATGAGAATATTCATAGGGAAACAAATAATATAAGAACGATGGCGATGCAAAGACTATGACGGAAGAAGAGAGGAACAAAATTGTGTAGTAGTACAGACTTTATCGTAATTAAAAAGAAGTTTAGCGGATAGACGACCTTGTTATTATAGGAATTGTTTATTTTAGCGATACGAGCAGAAAACACGCAAAAGCAGATCACGATAACAATACTTACACCAAAATAATTTATTCTTGTTAGTTTTGCGTGGTCTGCGCCGTCCTTCGTTCTCAGTGTCATGAGCCACTATTCAATGAAGAATCATTAAGAACGAAGAACGAAGTTATGAATACGTTTAAGGTAACTTGAAAAGTACATACATACACTGCCTACCTGAAGCTGTTCTTCTTTGTCTCTCTGCTGTTGGTCTCGGTTGCTGCTTTTCCTCATCATCCGTATGGTGGTATCAAAGCAGAGACGTCATGGATAATTAGATAACCGAATTAACATGTGCTATTGCTAGCTGCTATATCCGGTCATCCAAGAGCATGCATTAAAGTGTTATGCTTTTCAATTTAAAGTGTTATATTTAATGCGACATCGGAGCATATCTCATTTACACCAGTTGATGATAATAAACATGCGACGAAAGACAAAAAGCACCGGATATTAACAGACAAGCTACAGATTGACTTTTCATAAAGTATCAGTATACGACCACGCTTACCAAGCTGTTGCTGTTGTTGCGATATATGGCATACACTGTCACTCGCAATGGTCGTTAAAAAGTACCACACATTTTGTTTTCGTATGCACGCTTTTTGAAAATATACAAGATAATGCATTGTATGAAACGTAATACATATCGCTCCGAACAATAATTGACTCTAAAGACAAACCGAGGCACATGCCCCACCATGCACATGTGCGGACTTCAAGCCGTTCTCGAGTGCACACGCGCCTCACTTTTCTTTTTTTTCTCTCCTCTTTTTATTTGACTTGTTCTTTTCTCCTTCTCTCATTCATTTGGCACACATTTAAAGAAAAAGTCAGAGATGGGTGCTTTATTTTCAAAGCAAAAGGTATGCTATAGTGGAAAAAGTTACCCCGAGATTACGGGCCCAGGTAATATATACAAGACTGTCATTCAGGTCATAACACTACCTTCTTTTTATGAAAATATAGACCGACCCAAATGATTATGAAAAGATCCTCTCCGAACTCGACGAAAGCATTCAAAAGGCTGAAGTGAGACTTTCGGAAATCAAGATTCGAGAACGTCGAACGGGTCTTTTATGGATAATATACGGTACAATTGCTTGGGCAGCCTTCTTGTTGTACAGTTTTATCGTACTTCACGGAGAAGGTGACGAACATGAATGGAACACACTTGCAGTGACTTTGTTACCTGTTCTCGTGATTCCACTAGGGTAGGTTCTAGGAAGAAAACCCAATAACCAAACTCTCCACGTATACCATATACACGTAACCCTGTATACTGACAAACGAAGTGCTCGGATTATGTAAATAATAAGAATCTACTACACGCGTCGATTATTGAAATGGTTCTATACCCGAAAACAAACAAACGAAGAAGCCAACCTGGCCGCTCTACGCGCACAACAAAAACTCAAGGTTGAAGAGCTGAAAAAGAAGACATCCTACTACACGACAAAGTCATTATTGGAAAGATACGATTTGGCTGCTGCACAGAGGAGGAAACAAGAACAGCAGGCTCAACAACGGGCCATGGCAACCGGTGCTACCCCACGTCAACAACAACCAGGTGCACAGCAACAGCAGCTGAGACAACGAAGTGGAGGTTAGCAGGGGGGGGTTAGTGGATTAGGAACAGAGTGGATACTTCATTGTGGAAAAATCCGTGTCGAATGGAAAGGTGAAAGGACGGTGACAGAATAATATGCTGAAACATTGATTCTCCAGGACCAGGTCCATCACCACAGGGACAGGGCATGGTCCAACCGCAACAAGGTGGTGGCCCTGCTGCCGCCGCTGCTGCTACTGCAGGCACCAGAGGACTCGCGCCAGTACATTTACAAGCAAGGACACCTGTTCCCCAGCAGCCAAAAGAACGTCAATGGTACGACAAGCTGGTCGATGCTTTGGTAGGAGAAGAAGGACCCGAAACAAAGTATGCCTTAATATGTCGTCATTGCTTTACACATAATGGATTGGTGCTGCCTCAAGAAATCGACCTCATACGTAAGTCTTAATTCTCCAAATACACAGTGACAACCTGTGAGAGTAAAAGGAAAAGAGAGTGCTTATATGCATAACTGGTTTGATAACTCGCTAGAATATACCTGCCCAAATTGCAAACAATTCAATCCCGCACGAAAGTTAGCAAACGTCCCCGCATCACCAACGCCACCTCCGCCACAACAGCAATCATCGCCATCGCCATCATCATCTACCAACGAAATTCACAAAGAACAGCATCTATCACCCATCACTGGAGAGAACGGATCGAACCACAACCATCATCATGAACAGCACCCGTCACCCAGACCTGAACCTGAATTGGAACCATACAAAGTCTCAGATGAAGAAGATGAAGCTGAGGATGGCGATAACAAAAAGAGCGTTCCCAACACTACGAATGCTGAGGGTATCAAGGCTTCATGAATGAATGAATGAATCGACGGTCATATCTCACTTATTCTTTGTCTAATTCTACTACTTTAGCTCATATTTTTCTCCTCTTTCCATCATTTATTTTCGCTATTCTTTGTGGCATTCATTACATGCATGCATCATTATCTTTTATTATCTAACGCATATTGCTTGTCGGGACATATGCATTCTTTGCTGGGCATTACGGAAGCACACATACATTAAAAAAGACCAAGGAAGAATGGAGAGAAAAAGCGGCCATTGCCTATCTATGCACACACACACATAAACATATACGTGTACCGTGGGTATTTAAGCAACCCAAAAAAATAATAGAAAGTTTGCTATGCAAAATGGTGTGATTTTTTTTCTCAGAATAAGATTCATTATCTGATCGACAAAAAACTGAACCGCTGGGACCACATACAGGTATCGGTTAAAAGACATGTCCTTGGCTTCTTCAGCTTTTCTTCTGTTTAATCATTGATTATACAAACGATATAGCAGAGTACAATTAATATACAATCCGATGGAAACAGCTTTAATTACATATTTTACAATTTTTTCACACTTTGAATGTATCAGATGTCGAATATGAACAATGTTTAAATAGTGCAAGTGTATATAAGAAATTTGTTGTTGGTTGTAGGACAGGAAGAGTTTGGACTTGAGGGTGGGAAAAGGACAGAGAGAGAGAGAAAGAGAGGGGAGGAAAGCGTAAAGATAAAGGCGTAGAGTTAGATGGAAGAGGGAAGCTACCGAGGAGGTAAGGAGTCATTGTATACGAAAAATAAAGGAAGAGCAATGTGGGAGGTGTACACAGGTGTGCATGATGGATGATGGATGGGCGATGATGTATATCAGATGCATATATATAAAAACCAAGCTTCTTCTTGTTAGGTTTCTACTTGGTGTATTGTTTCCTGTCTATCATGGCGATCGGTCGCTGTCGTCTTGTACGTTGTCTATGTTGCTGTATGGACATGGTCCGTTTTCTTGCTTCAGCCGCAGTAGCCGCATGAACAATCGGCCGGTTTGCGCCGCGTCTTCTACCGTTCTCCTCTTCCACTTGTAGTACTTGATCCTCTTCCTCCTCCTGCTGCTGCTGCTGCTGTTGATAATCCTGTACCTTCCAAGTATCCAACTGATGTTGTCGCTGCTGTAACTTGTCTTGCATTGCTGTCAAGTAATCAACCACTTCATCGCTGTCGGGCATATGGAAAATAGGCATGGATTGGTCCATATGGATCGCTTCAATGTCGTCGTATGCCGAATGCCCATCCTCAAAGCTTAACGTCACCACTGTTTCTCCTTCTTCGTCCTCGTTCTGCTGGCCAATTGCTTCGCTGCCGGTGGTATCCTGAGGCAATCGTGGAGGTTCAAATGGCCTAAGGTTCATCATGTAATGTGTCACAGCTTCGTCTTCTGTTCGCAAGGATAAAAGAATGTTTCTTTTAGCACATACGTGTATATATACACACAGCAAACAATGGATTCAATAACAGCCCGTCACATACCTGCATTCAGTGCTGCTTCAGCATCACCATCTTTTGGTTGTTCTATGCCCAACATTTTTTGTATTTGATTAGGGCCACGATGCCGGGCTGTTGACGTTGCTGTAAAGAATGGTCGCTCTTCATCGGATGACAAGCCCAACAAAGGTCGATGTAACGAAAAAAAGGCATTATGTGCAAATTCAGCTTCGGGCATGTTGACCACAGGCATAAATGATAAACGCTCTTGAGCAGTCGCTTTCGTCTGTTGCTGTGAAGGGACACTCTGACCGTTGTTATCATTGTTGCTATTACTGCTACTGCTGCTACTGCTGCTTCCACTGCTGTTACGATCATTATCACGATACGATGACGAATAAAGGCGGGTCTGTGTTGTTAGTCGAGTCGCACTCGTAGTGACGCTAGTAGTGGTTCTTCGCCCTGGGATACGACGACAAAGCTGTCTTGATATCATGATGTATACTTGTGTGGTGTTGTATGATAAGAGAAGAAAGAGAGAATCTGGGCACGATTTCAAATTGTAGGCGTGACTCACACGTCGTCGTAACCCCGCAAACATTTTAGTATGACGCATTGGGGTGCTCACCTCATCATCATCCTCCTTCTCTCAATGACGCCCTTCAGCTACTACTTTCAATCTATGTTATTGCCTGACAATCAAAGGAAATGTGAAGTTTTTTATCTCGTTCATAATGTAAAAGATAAGCAGCAGTTTCTTTTTATCATCTTGTTCCCAGATAACCATAGATTAAAAAACTACTATTACCCGGAAATGCCCGGACAAATGCGGAATAAACAAAGTTTCAATGGGGGTAGTAAGTCATCAATGAAGGAGATCTAGCAATTTTCTTTGTATGCCTGGCACTTGACATTCGAGCTTGCTGTGATTCTCATCCAGCAAGTGCACTATAACATCTACTGATGCTACACTGCGCCTCCCGTACTTTATTGCTCAGGGCTTATTTTCATTGTCTTCACCGAAAATCACCGCAGTTTAGTCCGCCACTTTTGACACACTCATGCGAGATCAAAACCAGGTAATCTCTTATCATTGAAAGAGGCTTTGTTCATTATGGCCCCATTTTTGGTGCTACTCCACAACAAAGTCCGAAACAGACTTGGATATGGTGATCTGTGTTAGTACTCTATGTGTAGCACAGCAAGTGCGTTCGATCCGTCGAAAAAAGGAAATTTACTGTATCGGATTGACCTGGAAACGACAGAATCAACAAACTATAAAATGGAGCCTAAATGAAACCTGCTGCTCTCTACATATCCAGGTCACCTATTGCTCTACAGTTAAAAGTAACACATTGGCTCAATTAAAACTTGTGTGCGCATACAACGGCAAACTCCGCAGACATTGATTTCACGGCAACGTTACTTTCATTACACGCTTCTAGGATTGTGACAGCTGCCTCGTTGGTCAGTCTGTGTTGAGTGGCATAATCTCTGATGTTATCGATGATTATACGTCTTCGGTTATAACATCGGCGTTCTGACTCTGCTCGCCGCTACGCAACGCCGTGCTCGCGCTCCAATTCATCAACTGCAGGTCCACCAGCCAAGCCATGGTACCATTCGCGCCAAAGCATATCAAGCGTTACAGTATGGCGTGACATTTTGTACTCTGGTGCAGGCGGTGGATGAACTGATGATGGTGATGGTGATGCAGATGCGTGCGTCGCGAGTGCGATCCTTTGCACAGGTGGTGGTGGCGGGAAAAAGGGAAGAGAGATGGTTGCAGTATCCTGCAGCGGTTGTTGTTGGAGTTGTTGCTCTGCTGGCTGCTGCTGCTGCTCTGGTTGCTGCTCTGGTTGCTGCTCTGGTTGCTGCTGTTGAGGCTGTTGCTCTGATGGCTGCTGCTGCGGTTGCCGATGTTGTGGTTGCCGTTGTTGTTGCTGAGATGCGTTGCCAAGGTTTAGCGTCAAAGTCAAAACTCTTGAAGCAGTTTTACTGATCATTTCCCATTATCAACAGAGACCCTTTATCAACTATTATGGCTCGATCTTTTTACTCTATGAAGCCAGCACACCCTTTCTCAACGTTAATTGGTTCATGGTAATGTAAAAAAAGGAAAAAAAAAACCAAGACGAAAGGCCTATGTGTGGCTAACTGCGGGGAAAACTTGGTAAAAATGGCTTATAACAGGACAAGCTGGGCTGGATGGGCAGTAAGCTTCAATTGATCAACGGCGTCATGTTGATTTCGGTGTTCTTCATGGCACGGATCGTATTTGGCTTATCGATGTCCTACTATCTTTGGGGTAATGAACGAATGAATGAGGGTCTTTGTGGTTCTTCATATGAGTAGCGAGTTCTAACATTACATGTCTTTGTTGTAGTGGAGATTTATGCCGTCAGGGAAATGGTGCCCTGGAGCTGTAAGTGGTTTGATAGGATGGGTATATATTGTGTGACATAATTAGCATAAAATATCTCATGCAACCCCTAAACCCCAATTTTCTAGATTTCGTAATCTACGGTGTCGCCAATGTAGTGACAAGTCTACTCAATATCTACTGGTTCGGCTTGATGCTTCGCATGCTTCGTAAACGATTCCCCTCTTCCAATACCAAGAAGGCATAAGCACCTCTATCCGAAATCCCACTCAAATTTTTGTTTTCACACACACACACACACCGCATCATACACGCACGCACAGAATCAAACAACAACAACAACAACAACAACAACAACAACAACAACAACTGCAACTACAACAGCTACTACTACTACCACGCTTACTACTGCTTGCTGGGCAACACAAATACACCTGTCACTTGAAATTTCTTCTTTGTCTCTTGGCACAAACGCATGCCATTCCCGATATAGCAATTCTCCCCCGATATACGTTACCAAGCAACCAATCAACCAACTCATTCTTTTTTTCCGCAACAACACCCTGAATAAATACTACTTTGGTTCATCTTCCATAAAGGAGTATAATGTACAATCGAACAAAAGAAAAAAGAGATACTCCCGGGAACAAACCACACAAGCAAGCGTTGGGAGAAGAAAGATAATCATTTCACAAGTATCTGCCATTGTTATTTCTTGATTATAAACTGTAGCGATGACCTGGAATATATGAAACTTTTAAAGCTGTACTACTATGACTATTTCCTTTTTTTTAGCTTGTTGAAAATGAAATCCAACCGATTTGCTGAGTGTCTGTGTGCCAAAGGATGGGGACCTTGTTCCTAAATTGGGAACAAAGTGTAAATAAGCTCTTTCAGAGCCCATCTGAAGTACCATTAGTCCCACATTGTCTGACGTTTTGGCTACCTTACCCCACACCCTCCAGCCTCTATCCAAGGTGCACACTTTATAAAGCCGCCAAGTGCTTGCCTGGTACCCAACGTCAATGTATCCAGCTTTGTCAACCTGTGTGGCTTAGAGTAGAGTCATGTAAAAGTTATGTTAAATGCGCTTATTCCAGGTCGTTTTGGGTATGACCTCCGGTTCGTCCGGTAAAGGTCCAGCCTACAGATAGTGTTTCGGCACTCATGCTCAAATTCGGCTGGCATCAGGACACATACAATAGCTAGCATATAAGCACTAGTAATTACGGTTCGGTAGTGCCTCCTCCTTATACTCATTTTTTAATACGTTACTGAGTGTTCATGAGTGATTTTTTCTTTCAGAAATAGCTTGGTGGGTTCCGAATACATGGCATGGGGTATGTAACAATGACGACATGAGAGATGTCAAAAGCATGCAGAAGCCCTGAAAGGTTGCTGCCACTAAGCAGTAACGCTATTCGGCTCAACCTTATATGTAAAAAGCATGTTCTTTTCAGCAGGATCACAGCCTGCAACGGCATGTCATAGGGTGTTGTAACGAAATTCGATGTATGCAACTCTTTCTTTCCACAAAACTATTACTACTAATTACATCCTCTTCACGTTGCCGTTCATTTGTTGCTTGATAATAATTAACAAGGGTGATAGCCAGTACTCTTTCGCTTACTATGGCTATGTGCGCTGTAGATTGGGGTACCATCCAATTGACACGGAGGTGAACGAAAATCTTGACAGAGCAGACCGCTTGTTGACGCGTTGTGAATTTTTTTTTTTTTTTGGTTCAACACCAATAAAACATTCTCGCGTCGTTTTCGCGTTCTTTTTTCCTTTCCTTTCTTAACTCTCCCACATACACCTGAATCCAACCCCAATAAACTTTTCTTTCCTCCACTCTCCATTATGGAGGCTGATCCTATGAATCTAGCAACTCTCATTGATGAATTGATTCAAGAACAGGACGACATTACTGGTATACTTTTCTTTGTGTTTAATGAGAGTGAGACAGAATAAAAAAAAGGTGGGGGGGGGTTACAGCTGGTTTTTTTTTGTGTTTCTCTTTGATCGGTCCTAGGATGAATCTCATTCATCGTTTTTCTTTTTTCTACGCGTCCAATCGGGGTATACAGCAATCAATGAAATTTTGGTTACTTGTGCTGAAGCGGATCTCGATCTAAAGTATTGTCAAGAGTTGGTCCAGCGGTTACTGGTCTTTGCTACAAAGCTCGAAAAGACCATCAAACACGCCGACTTTGGCAACACGTTGGAGCAGACGTTTACAAGAATCGCCACCAAAGCGCCGAATAGGGGTGTTCAACGGCTTTGTAAAGAACTCAAGAGAATCCTCAAAGGTAGCGCAGCGTACCTTTTTTTTTTATTTATTTTCTATGCAAACTAACAGATGGATGATTTAGAATTGTTGCACGTGTACCCGATCGAGGATCCTAATAAAACCTATCGAGTACGTATTTCTTTACCCACTCCTACGGCTATGAGTATTCTTTTCTGTCTTTAGCATGGATTTAATTGAACAAGAGAATTCATATCCTCATCCAGCGTGACACCTTACTGATCCAACAAAGCGTCCTTTATTAGATCACATCTCTGTCCGACACTGTTATTCCAAGCAGCAAATTTATCCATCTTATAGCCATCGTGTGGGGTGCCATACAGCGCTTGTTGTTGATAGATCCAAACTACACCAGATTGGCCCACCCTGCCGTTTGGTCGTACACATCCGCCGTGCTTGAAGCTGCCTGCCATGCCAAAGACCGCCTAGCCCAAACATATATTCTTCAGGTACCTTATCCTACAACGAATTGCACTTCCTTTGTAACCCCTCTGTTTGACTCCATGTGATGTTTCTAGACGACTTCAATCTACTGGCAATGCTTTGCAAAAAAACTAGCTGCCCCTGGAGATCCCACATCAAGTCAACACATATGTGATCTGCTCGAGGGGGTGAAACAGACGTTGCAATTGCAATCGTCGTAAGTATTTCCCCTCAACCCCTCTTATTCTGAATAGGGCGCAATTATACAACAAGAGTGCTGAAGCAATATTTGAAATAGGTTTGAAGAGGAAATGATGGACAACTTTGCGAAAAGTATCAGGTCGTGGTTGAAAATGTTCACACCTTCCAAATTATCATGCCTCTATGACATTGCTGAATTGCTCGAGGAAATATGCAAGTACCCTTCGGCGCAAACACTACATAGCCTCATTGTAAGTTCCTTCCAGAGATAGCCGTTCCTTCTCTCTAGCTACGTGTTGCTTACCGAGTAAAAAAACCTGTTGTATAAACACCACCCTTATTTTTGTTAGGACATCATCCTGCTCGTTTTAAATCTCTTGTTCGACAATAATGTACCCTTGTCTTGCTTCCAGAATTACACTTCCGCTTTGGAAAAGGCTCGAAAACTGACGCCGTTCCACCAAGCCATTGTCATGAAATACGACGCGTTGTTCAACAAAGAAGAAGACCAATCTCTATCGGTAACGTCTGCTTTATCTTTGTGGCTTTGGCAACAGGTATACGTGTCCTATGAACAGAGATACTGACAAAGTAAGCACAATTATATAATAGACATCATTACGAAAGCGAATTCGACTACAAAGTGCTGATGACATGGACGTTTGCGAAGGCAGCCAGTAAGAACTTACTTTGAAAAACGATAAAAGAAATTGCGAAAGAGTTGCTTTGAGTATGTGGAACTATGTTTTTATAGAGTCACTCACTTCTGTTATTGTTGTCCTTGGATAGGATGCAGGCACTACAAGAAAGAATTCAAAAGCGACATGGAGGCACTGTGGTAAATACACACATGAGTTGAAGAGAGCTAACGCAGCATGTTTATCGTCCTTGGGCACACTCATTGAATATTGATACTTCTTTTTTTTTAAAAGCAAAAGACATGGTACCTAAAGACAATGCTGACTCTTGTCACTAGCGCAGAACAAGATGAGACCGAGGCATCGATCATGAAGACGTTAGACGATGTAAAGCTGTTTTTTTTGTCTCACAAAATCGATATATGATTATGACTGGCACCATTATGAAAACTAACTCGCTAAATATGCCTACGTATTCTACCCTCCCCATCCGATGCATAAAAACCCAATAGATCAGATACTTGGGAATTCACCAGTCAGAAGGTCTTTTTGATGAAAGCTTGACGCGAATCGCCTTGTCACATGTCCAGCAACGCTCGAATGACAGTAGCAACACTACTGGTAGCGTGACACAGCTATCAGACAAGATTGCAGCAATGTATGACATGTTGCTACCATATTACTTGCGGGCTTACATGTGCTACGCCCTACCATATGCCGTGGGCGCGAGCGATGAAACCCTGCTGGAAACACTTGCCCAGATGGTCACGTCCGACACAAAGTCTCTATGCGAAACTGGTGGACATCATTTAATCATCAGCTATTTCATGTCCAGCGACACAGCTTTCACCAACCAGGGTTTCGCTCGTCTACGAAGCATATTTCTCGACGATGAAGCGCCTGAAAAATTACTGAGATCGCATCAAACGAAAATTGTGTCGTCCTTGGCAATGCGATTAGCGGACGATGATTATGATAGGGTAAAGTTTTGTTTCTGTTTTTTTTTCTCTTAGTAACTAGTCGTGTGCTATGCTATTTGCTATTAAATGGTAGCTTCTCACCCTTGATTTACTGACGATGGATCATAGGCAGAGGTCGCTCTTAACGAGGTGATTGAATGGCTCCATATCACATCAGCGACAACACTGGGTGAATTCTTGCAGAGTTATTACCTCGCTATTCTCTCTCACGTATCAAAGTTCATCACTGAAATCCGCGAAAGAAAACCGGTGCTGACACATCCGAACGCATTAGCAGCCCTGGATAAAATATTGAAGCTAATGGGACACGGTGTACAAACACATGCATCCCAGGTACGCGTATCCCCTAATCCCTTTTTCTGCTTTGTTGAACATTTTGATGCACTCGAATCATGTATTTGCTGTTCTTTACTTTCCAAGTCTTTTTAATCGACTATTTTCTATAATTACATACAACAGACAATGGCTTTATTTCAGACCATCGGTGAGCTACCACGGATGCAGCACGAAGTGTACAACCTATGGAAAAGATTTGCCCATGCTTTGCCGTTCACAGTACTGTCTGACTGCATTGGACCCATTGTTCGCGGTGTCCTGTCAATATTCCCGCGGTGCTCGGATGAAATCAAACAGGATATCGGCCGATTCTTGGAGGAGATCCTGCACGCGTGTAACTTGACCATGGACCGTCTACTAGAGCTCCCCAGTATCCAGCCCTTTGAAGAGCTCGATAAGGTCCGCGAACTCATTGATCAAAAGCGGGACGACCTATCGATCGAACAAAGCATCTTTGCCATATGCAAACGAGCTCGTAACGACGCTGCGTCAGACATCTTGACATTGGTCGAAGAACTCTTACGGATCCTCAAGAAACACGGCGCGCTTCATCCTGTCATTGTACGCCAACATTCCATGCTCTACACGGTACTGCTGTATCTGTCCAGGAAAACCGGTGATATCCAAAACATCCGCAACCTTGCTGCTGAATGTCTTGGCCTACTTGGCGCGACCGACCCGAGCCGACTCCAAGTCAGAGTGGTACAAGACGACATGATTGTACTCAAGAACTATACGAATCCAGAAGAGAACCGAGACTTTGTGTGCCACATCATTATTAAGCACTTGGTGCCAGCGTTCCGAAAAGCCAACAACGAAGAAACCCAGCAGTTTGTCCAGTATGCTATGCAAACCTTGCTGCGATTTGCAGGCTTTAAACATAGCACTGTCGTCGGCAGCGAAAGCCTTGCCATCCAAGAACGCTGGAAAAAGATGCCCACGAATGTTCAAAACATGCTCTATCCACTGCTCGCGTCCTCTTTCACAGGCAACATGCAGATCCCTATGCCTTATTACCCGATCTATCCAAGTGCTGACAGTTACGAGACGTGGATAAAACGTTGGTATTACCTATTGATCAAGTCGGCAAACGACGACAGTGTGAGAGACCTGTTTGCTGTGTTCACCTCCTTGGTGCAACGGGAATTCTTTGGCTTGGCCTTGGACCTGATCCCTCGCCTAGTCTTACATGTTGCGCTGACAGGATCAAAAGAAAAAAGCGCCGACGTTATTGGTGAAATACTATGCGTGCTCAACGGCGAAAGTCACACGCCAATGCATACTGAAAAAATGCAAAGAAATGAGTTACAGGTGAAAAAGTCAAACCAGAAATAAGCAATACCCTCAAAAGAAGGATTACTGTGCACTAATATCCACCTGGATACATTCATTCTTTTTTTTTGCGGCTATTCTTAGGTGATTGTATTGATCACAGAGCATTGCAGAAAATGGATCCGTGGCGCGCAGAAAAACCATGTCAACATGGATAACGGAGACATAACTAAAGTTCGAAACTTTTTGGAGCAGATTCCTAATGACAAGATGGCCACAGCATCATTCCGTTGCAAGGCGTATCCGCAAGCGCTGATGCATCTTGAGCTCTACTTGAAAGAAACTATGAGGGAGCACGGCGGTCAATTCACATCTGATGTTTTGGACAGTTTGCGCCAAATATACGTTCATATTGATAATCCCGATGGCGTGGTTGCCGTTTACTCCCTGTTTCAACGGACGCTGTGCAGGGATGAGGAGATCATGTTGTATGAGCACATGGGTGATTGGAATACTGCCAGCGTGATGTACCGAAGTGTATTGGACTCACCGGAGCAAGAGGCGACGGAAGACAGCAGAATGCTATCTGGCTACTTTAACTGCTTGAGAGCAGGTGGAAATATCGGTAAGAATTACATGCGGAAGGGACAGCAGTGAGCAAATACATCCTCTGCTCCAAAAATACGTTATTAAAGATAATGCCATTCACGTCCGCGTTTTCCAGAGATCATGCAAAGCGCAGCAACACGGCTTATGCGCATGTATCCACAGTTTCTCTCGCGATTGAACGCCTACCGCGCTGAAGCATTTTGGAAAATTGAAGATTGGGATACCTTGGAAGCCTCTGTTAATCAACCGATCGAACAATCCTTTGATGGTTCGCTAGCTACTGCCATTGCACATTTCCGTCAAGGTAACAATCTGGCTGGACTTGTGAGTATCGACAAAGCCCAAAATTACCTCATGGATCATATGTTGTCAGCAAGTCACGACTCCTACCAACAGTCGTACGATCATATCCTTGGCCTCCAGATGATCCATAAGGTAAAACAAAGTCGGTTCATATGGGAAGAAGCTACGCGCAGTGAAAACTATGCACCCATCACTGAACTACGAAGCAAGTGGGAGCAGCAGTTCAAGTTTGTAGCGCCCTCGCATTGCTATCAAATGAAGCTTCTGGAGCTTCGACAAGCAGCTTTGTTCAGTATGATGTATGTATTTCTCCAACGTATCTCTATTGTTGCATGATATAAACTTGATACAAGACTAATGGCATCATGTCATCAGCCCCCAAGGAATCTCACTTTCAGCGCCTATCGATGACGGTAGCATCTGGTTGACAAAAGCCAAAGTAGCAAGAAAAGCAGGCGATTTGAACACTGCTTTATATGCAATTCTCAGGGCAGAAAAATCTGGCGCCCCTTTTGTTTACCTGGAACGTGCCAAGTGGTATTGGGCAAACGAAGAAAAAGCAAAAGCCATCAAATATCTGCAAAGTCAAGCGAATCCATGTGCGAAGGTAAACATATCTCGAAAGACTTGGATTCGATTCATTGTATTGCGGAAGAGGGAGCAATCTAATTTGTTCTGCTTGATAATTTATGTATTCAGGCCGCCCTACTTCAAGCAAAATACTCGGAAGAGTTTGAAAAGTTTGACCGTACCACGATGCTAAGCTTATATAAAAGAGCCCAGAGGTTGGACCAAAAGTAAGTACCTTGCTGATCATGTGGGCTTGTGCTTCTGTCTGAAATGAAAAAAAAGTGTACTTATTACATTCGCTATCTAGCTGGGAGAAGGCCATGTACTATGTGGGTCGATATTACGACAAGAATATATCGGACAAGGATGCCAAGCATGTCATGCAAATGAGTGAGAAGGAGTAAGTTGAAATCCCGTACGTATGTTAGAAGGTGTTTGTAAATAATTGGACGAAATTCTGTTGTCCTCTTTCCTCGTTCTAGAATGAAGATAGCCAGCTGTGCAGTAACAAGCTATATTCGAGCTCTCCACCTTGGCTCAAAATACTTTTATTACACAATGCCACGATTCCTGACGCTCTGGCTGGAGTTTGGCGATGTTGTCGAGAGTCTAAGCCTCATGTAAGCTCTTGTATAATTAGATATGAAAGGGGGAGGAGAGAGTCTATGTGTGTATAAACATATACTCATGATTAACCTACAATATATATATCTTATGCAGAACCGATACCCAAACACGTATCACTGCCTTTGAAGTGTTCAAAAGCATCAATACAAGTATTCGAAACCATTTGGATGGGATTCACCCTCGCCAGGTACGGAATACATACCCATAAGGTTGAGCAGGAAAAAATCAGCATTTGCACACTCACTCAAAACAACAACTGGGTAAATATATAGTTCGCTATGGTACTTCCACAGCTGGTATCCCGTTTATCCCATCCCAATGAAGAAGTTGGTAATATTCTTATGAAAATCATTGGCAAAGTATCGCCGCATATCCAAGAACAACAATCTGGGCGTTGTTGCCATCTGACGAATCAAGAAATGGCAAGATACAGGCCGTGCGCAAATGATATGTGATAAAGCCGAGGTAAGATTCTTTATATAGGAACAAAGGATGTTTGGTCGAGACAAGTTGGATAAGCTGTACTTTATTAAACTAGACTAAAACCATTACTTACAACTATTTTTAGAACGATCCAACAAACGGCCGGCTACTTGCTAGCATCATTTCGGTTAGTAGCAGCAGTAATAGGGCGCCAGATATCAAGATGTGGTGGTTAGCATGGGTTACTCAAACTTTGCTGGATTTTTTATGTGTATAGCAAGCCAGGAAGTTTACGCGTGTGTTTAAAGCACTTGCAATGGAAGAGCCAATCACGGAGCAAACACATTACAGCACCAAGACGATTCCAGGATTATCGGAGATTGCGAACCTGGAGCTATGCATCCCATCGCAAAAAGCCCTGCTTCCAGAATTGCCAGAGGTGTCGACCGTTCCTTACCAAGGAATTGAAACTGAGGATTTGCCACGGATCAAAGGTTTATAAATATAAAAGAGAGGGAAAGAGGCAGGATTCAAAATATTGATGTATTTGCTACTTATCCTGTTGTTTAGGCGTTTCTTCAAGCTATGAAGTGATGAGGTCGTTGACGAAACCGAAGAAAATTGCACTTATTGGCACAGACGGCAAGACGTATACTTTCCTGGTCAAAAAAGCTGATGATCTCCGAAAAGATGCGCGTATGATGGAGTTCAATCATATGATCAACACATTCTTGAAAAAGGACGCAAACGCTCGAGAACGAAATTTATGTGAGTTATCGTCACCTGTTATTTGATGTATTGGTCAGATTTTGGGTAATGGTGTTAACATAAGATATATATGAACGATGTCTTTTCTCTGTCTCTTAGATATCCGAACATATGGCATAATTCCCCTTGGCGAGAAGTGGGGTCTAATCGAATGGATTAACAACTTGAACCCTCTCAAAGCAATCGTCGTTCAAGAATGGGCGTTACTTGGCAAAGACATCAGGGTAAAGACATAATTAGATATGTAGATATACTACAAAGATGAAGCATAAAAGACATGATATACGATGATCGTGTACACTAAGAAAGGTCTGCATACTTTTGTTCATGCCTTTAGCAAATTGCCACCCGCGCTGGTTCTCTTTTGGATAATGCAAAAACACCTGAAGAGAAGGAAAAAGTTTTCACGAATACTATCTTGCCTCGGTAAGCATACATTAGGTCAAGACGTATTGGAAAAGCAAATTAACTTTTATTAATATCCCCTTTTCTTGTTTTTCATTCAGATGTCCCAAAGTATTTCACAAATGGTTCCTTGTACACTTTCCTGAACCTTCAGAATGGTTCGCCAGTCGTTCACGATACATACGAACTCTGGCAGTTATGTCCATTGTCGGATATATCCTTGGGTAAGGAAAAATCAGGATAGCTTTGGCCAGCATAAACAAAATATTAAGTTACAAAATGCAATCATTACTGTGGTGTTCAATAATAGAAAGGGACTAGAAGTCTTCGAGATTGCTGTTTAATTCAAAAAGGATGAATGATCTATCCTTCACTTTGTCGTGGCTGACTTACAGCGGTTTCGATTAGAAACCAGCGTCAAGAAGTATTGGTCAGGTTGCTGAGCGGATCTATCATTTATCTGGTTTTTCTTACCATCGTCACAGACAATCAACACAAAAATGCGCCTCGAAACAGGTCTTCTCTAAAAGAAGGTAAATGGCTGACTCATTAAAAAGAAATTTTGTACATATATATGCAAGTTTATTAAACAAATATTTGCATGTATACATGTACAACACAGTGCCTTATGTAACATATTTAGAGCCAAATTCACACAACTCATGCTTCATTGATGCACCAATGGAAATGCTATGGAACTCTGTGTTGCCGTATATTGACCTTACTCCTGTCTCGCCTATACGCTGTGGTTTATATAACCTGACCGATATCCTACTGCTTTGTACACATCACCATCATTAAGGAAATCACAAGATTGGAAGGTCCAACGCAGCACTTACTGCACGCAACTTTGCTTGGTGCAGCCCAGAATACTCCTCCCAGAGCATGGACAGCCTGCATAAATTTTTAAAGCACTTTAACCTGGAGAATCTTTCCAATCGTCTCCGAGAGAACTTTTTCGGTGTACAGTATGTGCACAGCAGTATAACGTGGATCATGTGGCACAATATAAATATGGCGTGCTTCATTGCTGGATAATTCGTCTTGTTGGAGCTGCTATTTCGTCCTGCTTGTAGCAGTACGAAATAGTAAATAGCTGTGAAGTCAGCCACGACAATTACACAGTCTCGGAGACCGACATGCTCAGAACATTCTCTTTGATCAAACAAACGGCGACTGTGTTCATGTCGACGTAAATATGCTTTTCGACAAGGTGAGTTATTGACAGATCCATATTTTGTTTTCTCATACAAGCTATTGCTATCACAGATAAATGATGATGACTGACGATTCTCAATTATGATATACAACACTAGGGTGCCCATTTGCCCGTTCCTGAGCTTGTCCCCTTCCGACTCACTCAAAACTTAATTGATGCAATGGGCATATTGAAAGTCGACGGTAAAACAATAACCTCTTAGGTACAAAAAATTCAGTAAAAGGAAAAGGTTTATTGATGTTAGAATGCGTTGGGCTGGGGAATATAGGCATGTTTCGGAAGACCTGCGAGGTGACGCTAGACGTGATGAGGAAAAACAAGACCCAACTCCTATCAGTATTTGAGACATTGGGTCATGATCCTCTCGCAGACTGGCAAAAGAAGGCTCCCGGAAGAGCTAAGGTATAGTAATATCACTAATTATATCAGTAAACAGTACCAGGAGAGGGGTGGTGAAACTAAACTTCTTTAACCAAAAATTCCCCTTCTACAAAATAATTAGGAGGTCACCCGCGAACTACTGAAAAGGATGGACAACAAAATTTACAACGGCCGCTCCGTCAATAATGAAGTCAAGAGACTCATCGCTTCAGCCTCCTCCAACGCGAACCTGAGTCAAATGTTTGTCGGTAAAGTATAGATACACGTCTCCCATCTGTTTCTGATCTATTGACCTTATGATGACTAACATTGTTTACCGTCTGTATATGTTATATACATAAATAAGTTGGGCACCTTGGATCTAAGATCGAAAATACGATATGGACAAAGATTGCGTTTGTCGATTTTTAAGGATGAAACACAATGGGATCGCAACATAGCTCACTTATTAGTGGAAAATCAACACAATGAAGACAATGTGATATACTGCTGCCTGTATGCCCAAAGCTGTACTACTGTATGTAAATTTATATAAATGTTCCCTTGACATCTGATTACCTATCAACATTATAGGCTACTCCCACTTCTTTCTTTACTTAACTTACTCAACTACAACTACAGTACCCTTAGCCTCCTCCTCATACGTACATATTCAGTGCGATTTTAAGCCGCCATTAATCAACTTTCGTTGCTAACCACCTGCAATCTATGTATACGAGCTGGTCAATAGAAGATACCATTGTCAGTTCGGAGCTGAAATGGTATCGCGTCAGTGACCTGATCGATTATATATACACGGTACAAGAATAGTTATTTACCATTGACTACCAAGGCGAGAAGTTCAAGGCGCCTTTGTTGGAGCACTTGTCTCCTGCGACAGAACAGCGCAGATTCGAAAAAGGAGATACTCTGATATGCGAAAGCGTCGCACCTTGGTCCAGATGTCTTCCCCAATTGTTTTACACGGCAAGTCTAGTAGCAAAGACGGTCCAGGGGAAGTATCCTACATTCGGCGCTGCTGCTGTTGATGAAGACGGTAACCATCCTAAAATGGTCTTGCTTGAACATCTTGCACAAGCTCTCCAATATATCGAATCTTGGCAGGGCGTCTTTGACCGAACGGCTTTTGAGAAACGGTACAAACTTGACTGGATTGATGATGATGATGTGGCCTGTGATGTTGACTTTCACGACGAAAGCGACGCCAAGCCAAAATTTTCAAAGCTATCTAGGAGTGGTGACGCATCGAAGGACCAGAGACGAAAAAATGGTGGTCAGCATATCGTGCCCATTGTAAAGCCCATTGAAGGAACGAAGCAAGAAGACAGAAAAGAAGAAAAACACAATGGTGAAACCAGAGCGGATTTCAACGATCCAGTCGAGTCGACAAGAATGGAAAAGGAAAATTCATCTGCAACGAACAACCTCACACCCGACCAAGATAATCCACCGGAAGATATGCAGCACTGTAGCAAAAGTACAGAATTTTGCACTGTATTGAAGTAAAATGTTCCAATAAGAATCCAAATTAGCGATTCCTCATAACCTTTCTTAACTGGCTTGTTATGATACGATAGTACTCCTCTTTTTAGTTTCATTTCTGAAAAAAAAAGTCTTTTGAGCGCTGAAGAATATAACACTTCTTTTATCTGTTAAACAGTTTATAGCACATCATACACTTCTTTAGCTGATATTATTTCTGGTAACAATATAACGATTTACATGAGACGGCAAATTAAAAATTGTTCAGCTATTTATAAAAGACAGCAACGTCTGCAGTATTTTCTACATCCAAGAGATGTGACTATAAGCAAGAAATCTTTTTAAGAAGAGCACGCACACAAAATACAGATTCAGGACATGATATAGACAATAAGAGGATGGCATTGAATACGCATCAATCACTCTAGCAGGAATACTGCTCAATTAGATAGCATCGAACGTGTAGCATCCCAAAACAGTACAGCAGGTCAAAGCGACAGTACGATCTCGTCGAAAGAATCAATCATACACTCGGTTGCCTCTTTTTCAGGCACACGCAAGGAAACTCAGCTTTGCTCTTTTTTTTTCTCACTTCGACATAATATAAAAAGTATAGAATGGATAATTCGGCATCACCGATTCCACTGGACGTGGCAAAAGCTATAAATATGAAACTATAATTATACGCTGTAACAAAGCACCTTTGCTTGAATAAGTGAAAGGCGTAGGCACCAAAAAGCAAAGACTAATGGTTAAACACTGCCTCTTTTTTTTCTGGTGCGACGATTGGCTGTCAGACAGTGTGAGAAAAGGAGGAGGGGGAGGGGTTGTGTGGAGGAGAGAGTGATCCTGCCTTCTTTTTTTCCGTTAAAACCTTGCTTCCATGGAAACAAACGCTCCCTCACGTTTCACCCTTTGTAATAACGACCAATGTTGCAACAAGTTCAACTTTATTGATGTTGCCACGGTGCATTCCGTTGTGGATGGCCCGGATCCTCGCGATCACTGTGCCAATGAACGAAACTTGTTGACCTGGTTGCTTACTGGCATGGTACTTGTATTAATAGGTAAAGTCAATTCAATTTACTTCTCCACACAACAACCCCCACATGATTATACACTCGTCGTGGAGAAGCAACACTCTAGTTAGACAGTTCGCACAACACAGAGAGACACCCATGCTCATATATATGTAAATGGTGTGAAGGCTTTATGACGCTGTTGGACCTGCCAACCAAAGTATTCGCACCCTCTAATTCTACCTTGGAACAGACGATCTAGCATCGATCCAAGTTCAGGTTGTGTCGTACATTTTCGTGGCACTTGCGCTTGCGAGTATATGCGTTGGGGTCATGATTTATTTGAGAAACATGAACCAAATTTTGGAGCGTCGGATTGCTGTGGGACATGGATGGACGGGGTATACTATGGTATTACTGATCGTGCTATTCGTACTCTTTGTCATGGCTGCTGCATTGACCACTTTAAAGTTTTCAGCATCGATTTCGCGTGCCTGTGTAGCATATCATAACGTTCAATAATCTGATCCAAAGTGCTTGATCTGTATATCTCGCTCATTCTGCTCTTTTTGTTTGTTTGTTGTTTGCAATCTTACCTGGATGGCTGTATCCAAAACGCGCGGCCATTTCTCCTGCTTTGCCAAAACAGCTATTGTATGATTTACAAAATTGTTGTCAGTGGTTGTGTATACATTGAATGTGCCAGTGTATATTATATGTGTGTGTCTGCATGTGTTTTTTAAAATAGAGTATTGAAGGACAAGTATGTAAAAGGTACATACCACACTGGTTGTTGTAAATCTTGACGAGTTGCTCGTTCGGTCTCTCTTTCAAATCGTTTGCAGGCTGAAGACCACCGACAGTTCGCAAATGCAGAAGTGCGTGATAGTAATCTGATAATGCTATTTCGCCCGAGAAAGAAAAAGGGTAATGGAATGAAATGGAGCAACATAGTTTTGTCATTGTAAATGAGCATAAACGTAATAATAAAGTTACTGCGTGATGTGCACCTGCGGGATAATCGCCCTTTTTGAAGGCTTCATTGCCTGTTTCGCGATATTCGACGCCTTTTTTTAAAAGTTTCTTCGGGATTCATAATAAAACTTTGTTGACAGAAGACGTAAATGTGGGTTGCGTTCTATGCAATTGGCAAAAAAAAAGGTTGGAAAAAGAGAATGGGTGAGAGTGATGTACGTACGCGCCACCTTCAATTGCCAATTTTGGGCAGCAGTTGTTTCTTTAAATGTTTTTCAGGACACATTTCCATCAGAGCTAACCTTGCCTGGTCTCTTTACGGAAAGAGATACACACTCACTTACGTCAACAACAATGGGCTAACAGCAAATAAAATCCATGCATAATTGATATAAACAGTGATAGATCAACGAAAAAAATAATAATCAAGATGCTGTTGTGGCTAGAAACCATATAAATGGTACAATATGACAAGGAATATCATCTACCCATGCAGTAATTACAACAGACATCTCTTTCTTCTACACAGTAGTATGTAGCCACCACTATCACATACGTATGATGAGAAAGGAACAAGGAACGAGTCGAGTGATTACATTTAAATTCATAAAGGTAGATCAGTTGGGTGATGATTGACGATAAAGATGTTGAGGGATTTAATAGAGGTCAACGAATAGCCATGACAGGAAGCGCCTCTATTGTTGGGTTAAAGCGATGCAAGCGAAATCTGAAAATTAACCCACAAGTCGCATCAATATGCACGTTGCCCCATAAACTGCGCCCATTCGCTACAAAAAAATTTCTCTCAACGCATGGGATGCGGTGAAAGCTAGCAGTGGAGTTCCAACTGCGCTGTTTCCACCAGGCTGGCATCGTGGTTCTACTTTTCGAAGTAGGAGTGAGGAGCTGAGAGTTTAGTTGAATGATCGGTTCTCGTCCCATTCGTTCCCCAATTTTTACAAAAAAAAAGAAAATGACAATAATATAGCATCTGGAGCAAGTCCAGCTTTTACTCGCTAAATTTTCCCAATTAATTTATTTTTTGGGCGAGTCCAACTTTTTGCAAGCGGGGACCAGGACTCACCTACCATTTCGTTCGGCGGGCTTCTTTTTCGCCAATGAGATTTTCCATTTGGCCAACGGCGTTTTGATTTGGGCCAACAGCATTTTATTTCGCTAATGGCCCCTTTTTCCGCTAACGGCATTTTCACTTGGTCAATGGCTCTCTTTTTCACTAACGGCGTTACTAATTTGCTTGCAGCAATTTATTTCGTCAACGGCATCGTCACTTGGGCAACGGCCCCTCCCTCATTTGGTCAACGACATCATTATTTCGCTTACAGTTTTTTTTATAAAACCTCAAAGTCCCACTGCGTCCAGCGAGGTCCCTGGGAATTGAAACCCAACGGGACTTGGTCAATTTTTGAGCCAGTTATCTTGCTCAACAGCTGGAAATCCCCTCCGCCAAGACTGCTATAGTCACTGATAGAGCTTTGCGGTTTAGACTATTTGGTCTAACCGCAAAAACCGCAAAAACCGCAAACTTCGGCTGTTGAATGATTTGACCTCAGTCCAGGGCTGGTGCAAAATTAACTATTCGTTTTTATTACACTGCATCTTAATGACAATGCTCCCAAACAACGACACCAACCTCATCCCTCTGTACACGTACGCCCTTGCAATTTTTTCTAAGGAGCAGCGCCTCAGAAGCGAGGTGGAAAAGCGTTTCCTCGAGACTGAGGAAAATGTGGTGGGATTCCTCGTGACCAATACGGGAGGTGATGTGCAGCGTTCTTGTGCGCTTAAAAGCGAAATCGCTCGCTTGAAGGCTCTTCGCGATGTCAGAACCGTGCAGCAGGCTGACGAGGCAGCATCTTCTAGTTTTGCTGGAGAAAACGCGACCATGAAAGCCGAGATTGCGGCAATGGAGAAGCAGCTCACTGAGCAGTGGAGGACTCGCCGTGCCGCGATTGCCGAGAAGTACGGAGAGGATGTAAAGTCCTTGGATGCACCAAAGTTGCCTTTTCTTCGAAAGAACGCTGGAAAGGTCACTGCATACAATATGTTTCAAAAAAAGTTGTATCTCGAACAAGGTCGTAAACATTTTTTAAGTTACTTATTTGTAGATCGATGCATGCTAACAAGTACTATTTGACTATCACCAGATCGCAAACGGTATAAGCATGATCGCAGCCAAATAGGCAGCATCATGAGCGAAAAGGCCTCGATGTGGAACAGTCTTAGCTGGGAAGATAAAGCTTTCTACCAGGAAATGGCTGACGAGCATAACAAGCAGCAACCCGCTTCTGAGCTGCAAAAGAAAAGAAGCGCTTTTGTTAAACTGTCAGGTTACCTTACCCGTAACTTGACAATGTTGAGAGAAGAATGTGGTGTGGAAGGAATCTGTTTTGTCGCACCATGCAACATTAACAACGCTATTCAACCCGATCAGGATGGATATGGCTCTGGTAACATTCTGGGATTCTATTATAAATGAACACGATATTTATCTTATCAATTTCTGATGAACAAAACTTAGATGGCGGGATGCACTTCTGGAGCTTGATGCAAGCAGAAGCAATTGATTTGAATGGGAAAAATTTCAGTCACCATTTCAAAGATCAAATGCTTCAATACAACAAACAGCTTGGTAAGCTTATTTTGCTCTACTTCAATTTTTATGTACCAACTACATGTATGCTCATCTATCACTGAAGCTGCGTCCAAGAATGATACTTCCACCCAACAACCCTCCTCTTCTTCCTCTTCCTCCGCATCCGCATCCGCATCCGATAGCACTGCTGCTCCTGTGACATCTATTTCCTCGGGGCCGAATCAAGTGCCATCCATGACGTCCCAAAAGCCCCGAAGAAATTGAGGAATATCATTGCCCAGAAATACCGTACGTTTTTATTATAGATTAGGAGTGTCAACGACCTGACTTTGTGGATCTCGACGTACGAATACCTTTTTAATACGTTTTACCTTAGGACAAGCAATATTTGAGAATTACCAAGTTGCTCTCCCAGAAGGAAGAAAAATGGCATGGCAAGACAAAGCAATGTATCGCGATATTGTCATGTCAGGCTGGCCTGAAGGAACCGAACGCGTCAACCCCAGCCGTTTACTGCAGCATGAACGAGATGAAATCGAGCGTCGGCTGAATTCGGGTGAGCTCAAGTTTGTGAAGGCGCCACAACAGCAGCGACAACATGATTAAAGCCTTCTTCTCCTTCTTCTTGTTCAAAAAAATACCTTTTCTACTATCCTCCACTGACAAATTGCTAGGACCACTTGAACTACTCTACACTTGCATTGCTGGAAGGACTTTAGTGGGAGTTTAAGACTATGAAATAGTATGGCTGCGGTATGTCTTGGTAAGTTCATGATGTGTACATAGGGAGAAGTGATGGTACTTAAAGACATGCATGTAACGCTTAATCACATTCGAAGTATATGTCTCCATATTTTCCTGCTGTAAGTAAGCGTGATCCACTTGTATTTCTTCGCAGTACGCAGCAATTTTGTTGTTGATTTCATAACTGGGAATAAAGCAATTAAAATCAAAACATATCAACATTACATTTAGTTCAGTATTCATAATCTAGTGTAAGCATTTCAATACTTATTAATACTAGCTAGTCGTTATGATTTCTTTTCGCGCGGGAACATGTATACGGCAAAGTGTGAGCTCCTTTTGCTCAGAAACGAACCGTCTAACAAACAACTTTTAATAATAATTTTCACCTCAAAAGAGGGGATGGTAGGGTGGCATGGCTCTATCTAACGTATCCAATGATACTGCACAAATATTCTTTAAAGATTTTACATTATTTCCACAAAGGGCAAGTCTACTGTCAGTGAAGTGTTAGCTCAATGATAACTTGTAGGCTAAAAACAAGAGAATGTTAAGTCTATTAGTTATACATGCATCTCATATACATTATCCACCTCTTT